ATCTCACTTCTTAGCATCTTCTGGTCGATCTGACCCACGTGTAGAAAGAATGTGTACCGTACCTTAATCACAAGCGAAGAGGGATATAAAAGTACGTAGACGAGTCCCCGAAGGCTAACTGCACCTCCTTCATGCGTGTTTCCAGAGAGACTGTCTCGTTTGCAGAGGCTTGTGCCATGAACCCAGCAAGACTGGCAGGAGAAAAGGATAGCAAAAAAGTGGGGTCAAAGACATAAGAAAGTACACAAAGATGGCGAGAGATCTCGAGTCTGTCCGGATACCAAAATGGTAGGCAGCAAGAGAAGACATCGCAGTGAAAGACAGGAAAATTTAGCTCTTTGCTTTCTTGGCCGTGTCTTCGGTGGATGATGGTGTACGTGGCCGCCGTGACGACCGATCCTACTCAGGAGATGTGGACTTCAGACGGCATGATAGGACGACAGGTTGGTTGAATGTTGTATTGAGAGTCCAGGCGAGCAAGTAGAAACAATCTTAAGCACTGCCTACAAGAAACAAAGCAAAGAGCATACCTTGATGGCCAAGGGGCAGTGCAAAGGCTGTCCACAGATGACATCTCGTCAAGGCTACTCCCAAGCGAGTGAACAAAGTTAACGCCGGCTCCACGGCCACTGTCAAGCGACACATGCGTGGCATGCACAGCCATTATTCCATTCGAGAGCCTGTGATTCGACGTGATATAGACACTAGCGAACAGAGCGAGAGACGACAAAGTGTAACCAAGATCGACAGATGAACAGCATGGGGGAGAAAAAGGCAGAAGAGGCCAAAACCATCTGACCGGCACCTCAACAAAACGCCTTTGAAGAAACAAAAAGCAGAAATCTCCTCAAAACGCCTCCAACAATATATCGTTTTTAACGTTGATCATGAGCAGAATTATCGCACCCGGGTCAAGATTGACGCTCCATGCCAGACCTGGTGTCTTGTCGCGACAGAGCGGCCAAAGCATGAGCCGCGTCTTGAGTATCCATTTCCATATAAGGAGAATGCTCGGATCGACTGTCAAGACGATACACATGCTTGATTTGCTGGTAGTCGTCTCGTCGAAGCCTGACATTCTTCTGCTGTGCTTGTTGAAAGAAGTCAGAGCAGGAGGTGCGCTCATTGTGCTTTACTGAGTCGAGCTGCTTGAGGCGTCGAAGGGTGACAGTGCCCATATCCTTGGAGCCGGAATCCTCTGAGCGAGTTGAAGCAGCCTCCTTCTGTTGGAAAGCAACCTCAGCAAGCTCTCGGCATTGTCTTGCTTTTTCGGGGTCAGCTAGACACATATCGCAAGTACCAGGACCGGAAGCTTCGGTTCGCGCCTCAAGAAAACTGGGGGTGGAGATATCAGAGGGCAGTTTGGGTTGAGCGGTAGCACGCGATGAGTCAATAGGCGGAAGGCTGGGAAGGCTCTTGTTGTTGAGTTCCTCCTGCTGGCGACAGATGCAGTTCTCGACATCACTACAGAAACCGCAATGTTCGTCTGTACCGAGTCCAGAAGCAAACGCAGATGGTTTGCGTGTTGCGTAGATGTTGGTGAAATCAACCTCATACTCGTCGTGCGGATCATTGTCCGAGGGTGGTGTAAGAATTTGATGGACTGATGAAACAAAGTTTGGAACAATGACAGAACGCTGGGCCAGGGTAAGCATGATGGCCTTTACGGGGTAGTAGGCATTGCAACAATTACCTGAGGATGAGAAGCATGGGCATTGGCATGATGGGCTTTGGCGGCATCTGAATGGACAAATNCAGTACGGTTCTCATCCATTGGAAGAAAGGCTCGAGGAGGTTTCACATGTGAAAAGGTATTTCGTCTCTTGGAAGACGCAGGGCAGGAAACGACGACGTGGCGGGAGAGGAATACAAAACGTACCAATTTGCCTCTGCAGCTCCATGTTGCGCTCTCTTTCCTGTTGGAGCTCGAGGACGGCTTGAGCCTTTCCAGCAACAGCATCTCCTACCGTGGCCGCGAGTCTTGCATTATCAGCAATCAAGGTAGACTCCCTGGCTTCAGCTTCTGCCTTCTCTGCCTTCAGCTGAGCGTTCTCTATCTCAAGCTCTTGGCACTTCTGGGCACGACGGTCGCGGAAGTTGCGTTAGCCTACCCTGTTNCTAGTTCTTCGCTTGTCGGTCGAGTCGTTCTGGTCGGCCATGGGCTTGCGGCCAGGCTTTGGTCGAGATATGAGGACGACTTCCTTGCTGAGCGGACCATTGTTGACGGTCGAGTCGTTGCGGGGACGCTTCAAGGCTGGGATCCTCATTTTGCCGGGTGGTGCGTCTTCGGGCGACGCTGCTGAGACGGGCGACCTGTAAGTGCTGTGTCAGTCACCCTATCTCTGTTCACGAATTGACCGGGAAGAGATAGCGACTTACTGCTCGTCCATTGCGCTGTCGACCGAGCTGAAGCCCCTCTTCAGCTGAGGGGCGCCTTCTCCAGCCGGGCGGAACCCAGCGACAGATGGGCCATCATGGATAGTACTGGGGTAGAAGGGCGAGGGTTGTGGCTGCGATGATGCCAAAGTCGTCATGTTGAAGTCGTGGTTTGGGAGACCGAGGGTAGATGGATAGAGAATGATCTTATCTGATCGTTGGAAGTGGCCTGTCGTGATTTGTTCCTTGGCGGCCGAAATCGCTCCTGTTGGTCCATGCGCGATCGGCCGCGCCGGTCCAAACTCATCTAGCACGAACTGCTGTGCTGGGTACGGATACACTGTTCGATTGTTAGCAGAAGCGCCTTCGATATTGCTATATACCTCACCTCGATCGTGTTGAGCTTGCTGTGGAGCAATCATGATAAAATCTTGTTGAAGACTCAAATCAGGACCCGGAAAGTTAACCGATTGGGAGCGTGGCTGGCCGTATATCAACCAGCCTGGTTGTGGGAATTGCTGATCGGCTGGCTGTTCGAACATTTGCGACTCTTGCGTGAGATTGTGTGAGCCTAGGAAGCTTTGATTCATGGTAGGATATGGACGTCCCCAACCAGCGCTGGCAGGTCCTGGATCACTGTTCACACGACGAATGCCAGGTTGAGCTTCTGCTGTAGCATAAGTCGGTGGAACATCACACGAATTTGTGACTACTCCTTGAGAGGGAAGATCTGATGTCGATTGCCGTTGGGTGCCCATCGCCAGGATTGAAGGATTCCTAGCTGTTGTATCATAGTCGGTCATCAAGTAACAAGGATGCCATGGTGCTCCGACCAAGACCTACCACAGAGCAGTGGACAAGGATAGTCTAGAAGCTGCATCCCGAGCTGCAATGATGACAAAAGTCGAGGGTTTGAGAGGATGAGAGCTCTGCTTTGAATTGAACTCCAAGACACATCGAGCCCCAAGACCTCGAGCCAACTTGCTGGACTTCCTGTGCCTATCGCAGCGTGCGGCGATGGTGATTGAGTTCCTGATCCTAAAACATACAGCTCTCACTAAACGGCTATGAGCTTGATTGATTGGACCTGATCAATCGCCTTGGGCACGGTCGGCGGATTGGAGTCTTAAAGGAAGAGCTTCGAAGGTTTACCACGTGGGTCAGACAACAGCTGGTGCGAGTTCTCTTGTTGCGATGGTTGGAGAGCCGACAAGTCTAATCGGTGCGCGCCACCTGCGCGCTCCTACGAAGAGTTGCTAGAACCCGAGAAAGCCATCATGTTGTGTCTCTTGTGGGTAGACACCTATGCATATGTTGTTTATATTCTATTGAAGACATATACTGCCTCAAATATACCGCTCTCCGTATGCTAGATCGTAGTATGATAGGCTGCGATGCTGCAGCAAATGTCCAAGCTATCCCATCCTTGACCTGCCCTCCAGCAAGACTGGGCAGGCTTGTGCTCAACGATGTCATTTTACTCGTCCGCAAATGTCTCGTCGTACGACAGTATCTCAACTCAAATTCTTCATCTCTTTTGCCAGACCATCGATGCTGTCCACGGGTCCCTCACCGAACATCAGGTACTGTACTCCAAGGTACGAATCGCAGCATGCCTGGAAGATACCGCAGAGCTTGAACGACCAAGGGATCGTGCTCTCAGCAAGGAAGAAGAAAGACATCTTCATGGCATCACCCAGCAGCCAGTTTGCGAGAACACTCAGACGGAAGCCTTTGCAGCTGCGGTTTTTCTGGTTCGACATGATCTGGGGNAGGGGCAACGTAGCTTCAATCCCCAAAGCCACGTAACCTTGAAGCGCGACGTAGGAATCCATGCGGCCGAACAGGATTTGAAGAACCAATAAGGTTGCGCTGAAGTACGCCAGGAACATCCAGTATGGTTTTGCTTGCTTCCATTGCCAGAAGTCGAAAGGACGCTTGATGTGAGTATCACCTTCTCTAGATCCTGCAAATGGCTGATGGATGTTGTTGGCAGCACTGGCGAGCGGACGGTTCTGCAAAGCAACTCGCAGGAGGACAAGTTGGACCATAACCATCAAACCAGCTTGCAAGAGAAGAGATAGATCAAAGCGCGCTCCAAGCCAATAGTATAGTNNCTGTGACCCACTGTTAGTTACCTGATCTCTTGTGCTGAGTGTGTTCAAGCTCAATTTTGACACATATTAGACTTACTTCAAGATTGACGCTACCAGCATAATGAGAGGAATGTCGAGGGAGAACCCGGCTGAGGACCTCGTACGATGGATAGAATAGATCTGATCGGCATAACTGGTCACAGGCGACGTTGCGAGGAAGACAGGAGCAAGATGTGTGATCAGCCAAGAGATGAGACCCATGGTAGCTGGCTCTTGTTTCGTATTGATGAGGTGATTTCTGCCTTGTCCTTTCCTTCGGTGTGTGCTCGTCTGATCAGGAGGATACCAATTGTCGAGGGTCCAAGAAACTAGTGCTTGGCGTAAGAGCTTGTCGTTGACTATTTCTCAAAAGATGGACGTCGAAATATGGTGAGGAATTGATCGTCAGATGACCGTCATTGAATTCCTGGACAGAAAATCGAACAGTTGGCCGCTAATGAGAAAATTTGGGAAAAGGGAGAATATGGAAATGTCGCAAATTTATCAGGGGTCGTCAGAGAAAGGTTGTTGTTGGAAGTCGAGAGCGTTCAGCCCTATACACAGAGCCTCATGCACGCCACATTGAGCCACAGCTTGGCGAGCATGTCTTATCGCTGTGGGTCTTATCGCGGTTCTACATCTTGCTACATCATCAACAAAGAAAGTCAGAGACAACGCGCAACATCCATTGTAGGTCTCTAGTTTGCTATAAATCATATTCTTTGTGTCTTGAGAATCTGGTGTTTGCTGCGTCCGGCATCTTCTAGAAGTGTTGATTAGCTCCTTCTTCAACATATATCAATGTAGGTCTTCCTGTGCACATATCTCTCTTCCATCCTTTTCCCATCCATCGGGAATATCTCCGTTCAATTCTTTCGATTACATCCATATCCTGACGTCATGAAGTTTTACGGAAACCAGGAAGACGACTTGCCTCTCGACTACACCGAGGAGGGACGCAACAAGGAAGACGACCTCCCTATCGACTACACCTTCGAGGAACGCATCGAGCGCGCTCAAACCAAGATGGGTGATCGTACTGCTTTCTTCTACGGTGAGAATCCATCTGTCTCCATCAACATTCTAGTTTTCCACAATCTAGAAGTTACCCTGACTGACATATCCAAAAACAGGCACCCTGATGGCCCAAGAAGTCCTCTACAACGTCATCTTCGGCACCTCCTCAATCAGCCGCTACAACATCCAAACAGTCACCCAAACCCCCGCTATCCTGCACCACCACAAGCGCTCCCGCGTAAAGCACTGCGACTACCCTGGCGTCATCCCCGAANAAGGGCACTCGGTTCGCGGCACCTACGTGACCGGCCTCACCGATGGCGACATCTACCGCTTGGACATGTTCGAGGGCAGCCAGTATTCTTTACGCACTGTGCGTGTGAAGCTGTTGAAGTCTGCAGGCGATGCAGCAACAGGAAGCGGCAATGTCGAGGGCGAGGAGGTGGAGACGCAGACCTACATCTGGACTGCCAAGGTCGAGCAACTCGAGGACAAGGAGTGGGATTATGCGGCTTTCAGAAAGGAAAAGCTTGCCATGTGGTCGGGCGGCGAGCCTGAAGGTGAGTGCTTTCTCTTCACAGTCACACACCATCAGAATATTCTAACGTACCTTTGCAAACAGNAACAAGGCTGGGACGACGAGGAGACCATCGACCCCACTGGCGGTAGATTCGGCAACGGTCAGATTGCCCAGGATCTCAGCAAGGAGCACGAGAAACTGAAGCAGCAAGAGGGCAACAACGGCGAGCCTCTGAAGAGCGCTGTCTAAACATCCAGACAATCACTCACACGACACATAACGATAACATCAAGAAAGCATGAACACGAAGGAGATCATGATTAGACATTTTTAGATCCACACAAGACATTAAATACATTCTTTTGCCCACTCACACTTGCTTACCTTCTACGTTGCATCAAACTGTAAGACCGACTGTCTTTTATAAGCCCTTTACTCTGATGTACTCCATACTCCTTTGCCTCTTTCTAAAGTCGAAAACGAGATTGTGAGGGTAAAGTGACCTGAAGTCTCGTCTATGAGAAACCTGCTCAAGAATTAGTATTCGAAGCAACATTCAACAGCTCCTCTCCTCCTTCCAAGTCTTCGTAGTTACTGCTGATGCAAGATTTGATTCAAAGAATCGTTTAATGTACAGGAAAGCACAAGCGACAAAAGTTAACTTGTCATCAACCCTTGTGAGTTGCAGCACATGTACCTGATATTCGGCCTTTTATAAAGACGTGTTTTCAAAGACTCATGGATTAAGGGTGATGTGATCGTGTCCTTGGCTCGCTTACTTGTAGTTTCCTCTAGAAATCTCAGTACCACTGTATATCATGGTCGGACAGCATGATGGCACAATTTTTACAAGCGTATAGCTTTGCAATCACAAGACACGTTACTCGCCTAGTGCATTTCGCATTCGAGACCCGAATTACGCAGAATGGAAGGAAAATGTATGTTCATTCTCTAGCAAAAGTCGTCTCGATATGGACACAGCAGCAAAAGTTTCGGCTCTGCAGAGCCCCAAGAATGAGAATGCGATCATCCCTTTCTTGATACTCCATGGAAATGCCGATGAAACGCAGTATTTGCAGGAAAGGTTTTTCTCAAGTCACTTACCACTAAAGCTCCTGTACTCCTTCGCAGTCCGCCTGGGAGCAGATTGGACGGCCTGCCGAAGCTCGTCTTCAAATGCCATTGGCGATCTGAAGAAGTTTCGCTGATCGTGTGTCATGCCATTTTGGCTATAATTGTAGTTGCCATGAGCGTGAGATCTGGCATGCTCACTGCTTTCGTCTTCGTTGTCTTCATCACCGCCGAACAACATCTCATCTCTGATAGATCGCTCCACTACTGGCGGAGATCTTCGAGCCAATGATGACTTGTAGGGATTTAACTTGTAAGGGCCCGGCTTGTGCATTGGCGGCGGCGGTGGTTTCATGGGCGAGCTCTGGACCATCCTAGAGTCTGTTTGCGCCTCGAGGGGTTTCATTGGCGAGCTCATCTGCTTGAGAGTAGGAGTTGGACCTNNGGAGCTGGGCTTGTGGAACTGTTGTCCTGGCTGGTCATCTTCAGCAGACGCGCCTTTTCTTTCTTCCTTTGCTTCTTGGCGGCACTCNTGCTCTTCTTCGAGCTTGATCAATCTCTCGCGAATCTCTGCTCGTTTCTTGGACGGATCAAAGTCGGCAAAGTCGTTGTTGTGATCAAGTTCGCGAGACATGACCTTGCGCACAAACTCAGTAGGATCGCGCAAGAAGGCCTCCATGTAACCAATCAAGTACACGCCGCAATCACAGAAGTTTGTTTGCTGAGGCAGACCGCGAGCTGTCAATCCTCTGAGTTCGGTATACTCAAATTCCAGACCCCGCTTGTCGCGACCTTCGTGGACAACGTACTGCTTCAGGTTCTTGATTTCTGAAGCGTGTGTGCCGCCCAAAGAGTCGAGGAGAATGAGGGCAGGTCTGTGTGTTGTCAGCATAAACGTATCACCTCGAGCGACAGACGATGATACATACGTGTCTGGGTCCATTTTCGGCAAGGGCGGCGCCTGCTTTTTACCCTTGCGTGGAGCTGGCTTCAATTTGCCAAGAGGAGGAAATTCCTCTTCCTCTTCTTGAGATGCGTCTAAAGAGATGCGCTTCACCCCNTGCGATAGACCATCATCCTTGGCCTCTTGTGGCGATTCGGGGATCTCAATGTCGTTCTGCACTGTCGATTGAGAATGTGTAGGTTCCTCAACGGTCGGTTGTGGTTCAGCTTCAGGTTCTACTTCTTCGTCTCCGAGACCATCCAGATTGAGTTTTCGTTCAAGCTTGTCGAGATTGCAGATGATGATTAGAAACCAGTGGTAGTTAGTGTTGATAGGGACGGCAACAAACGGATGGCTGAACAAATCGAGTTGCCTTGTCCAGCGTTTGACACCATCGTAGTTGAACCCTCTCTTTCCCGATGGTAAATTGGTTAGAGAGGAATAGAAGAACGAATTGAATATGTGAGCTTTGCCCTTCAACTCTGGATTGTTCTCCTGCATCTCTCGCAGACAGAATGAGATAATATTGTCATTGAGTAGCTCGCCATCGTCCAATCGAGCAATATCATCAGCATCAACCGTAGTTCTGTTTGACCCAGCAGGAGGATATGTTAGCGGAGCGTCCCACTTGGGAACACCATGTGTTACAGTCCATCGTTCGACCTCCGGCTCTGAAGCATGTGCGACCTTACTGCCATCTTTGCTCTTGAGTCTTCGGCTACTCCTCACAGGCGTGCCTTGGTTAATACGAGGTGTTGGCGGAGGCAAAGCAAGGTCGGGTGCTGCTTTGTTGGTGGATTCGTTGGCATAGTCAGATTTCATTCTGCGAGTCATTCGTGGTGCGAGTGTTTGGCTTGGAGGAAGGGGCGATCCGCTCTGTGCCGCCAATGTCCGTTCTCGAACTGAATTTCTGCCTTGACGACGGCTCATGGCCTCTAATTCGAGATCAGTTGTCTCGGCTGCTGGCGTGAGATGCGTCTCCGAAGCCTTGCAAACATTTGCGAATTTGTGNCCTGTAGGATTCTTAGCAGTGGATATTAGCGCGATTAACATGACTTACACGTCCAAATTTCTGACTGTAGCTTTACTGTTCATATGATCAACAGCTCCTAGAAACAAATCGCAGTCATCTATGGTAGAGAACTCAAACCAGATCCGACCGCGCGAGACTTCGTTATCATTGGCTCCAACCAGAATGACGGCAGCTGAGCTGTCTGTACTGCAAAACACTTGCTGGGCGTGTTGACTGCCGAGCTGGATTTTCACACCGTTGTGTAAGAGCGCCTCACCGTTCTTGTCGAATTGCATGGCCTTGTGTTCCCAAGAGTAAACGAGATAAAGGTGCTCCCAATTGCCAGCTCTCATCCGTAGTGACGACAAGAAAATTGTGATGTTCTCACGAGTTTCGGCCTTTCGTCGTCCCTTCGTCGTAAACTGTGTAGGATTGATAAACTTTGGAGATGGCGATCGCTGGGTCGCAGGGCGCCTCGACTTTTGAGCGGACGACTGCAACGTAGGTTCGCGTGACAGTTCATCTTCACTCGAATCCTGTACGGCTGGTTGATGTTTGACGATATGGGCAGTATTCGATGTTGGCTGCATCCTGTCTCTCATCTTTGATTGAGCTTGGTGCGGCGCTGGAGCCTGATCAGATTCTTCCTCGTCTCTCACAAAAGTCGCGGCCAGGCGCGGTGAGCGAGACGTCGGGACTTCTATGCGATCGAGAACCTGCACAGCAGGCTTGGCCTGTACTCTGGTTTTGGTNGTCGTTGTAATCTTGCTGAAATAGCTACTGACCTCGTCACGAGGTGACTCTTGAACAAATGTCTGGAGGGTAGACCGAGTTGGGTCACGCGGCCCTTCGAGAATCTGAACGTCGTCGTTATCGTCGACAGAAACTGGGTCAGTGAGGGTTCCATATTGGTGTGGCGGCGAGCTCGGCTGTGTTCCACCAGCTTTGGGCTTGCGACTTTTCTTCCTGCTATTATTCAGCGTCCCGTGTACATTTCGAATTTCGTTATGCTGGAAAGCATTGTCTCTTTGACTGGGAGTCTCTTGACTGTTTAGGCTGATGACACTCGGCTGTCTTGCATGTGTGGCTGGGGGTTGTCCATGCGTATCACGGTTCCAAAACTGTTGATCTGACATGTTGTCAATGTCGCCTTGCGAATCTCCGTGACTTGTCTTTTGACGTTTGGTAGCGCTTTCAGAGACATTTGCGCCTCGACTGGTCACAGTGGCCAGAGGATAGGAACCAGGGCCCGATTGGTTCAAAGTGTTTCCAGGCTTGAAATTCCTGCCACCTGGAGGTTTTCTTTTATGTTACTCGTCATGTTACTCGTGGGAGCCCAGTCGTCCTGCGGTACGCGAATTATGGTAGAAGGTTCAGTTGACCTAGACGGCGTCAGTCAAGGCAGTCATCGGGCACATTTGAATGCGCATACGGGTATGATCCTGGAAACAATCTCTTCTCATCGGCACTGGGCACTGCGCGTCCTTGGTTTGCTCGTTGCTGGCCTCGTCCTTGACGTGGACTTGAATGCGCGTACGTCTGTCGAGGTCTGGGCTGTGGTTCTAGGTAGCTGGAATATGGTCAGACGGTGCGTGTCGACGAAAGATCGGACGTGGCATACTCTTCTGACGATGCGATCCGTCCCTGGGGAGGGCTGATTTGTGTGTGGTCTCTTTTGCTTCGCGGATGTTCCTCTGGGCTGGGATGACTGAGTCAGATGGGCAATCGGATATGCTGCGGGTATGGCGTACTATCTTAGCGATGTGGGTTGTCTTGGTTGCGTAGCGAGTTGTGTGCGTAGACGTTTGGTTCGGGACTGGACGTCTAGACTGTCGAAACATTGTCAGGATGTGCGAGTCGACAAGATTTCGGGTGGGGCGTACCTCGTGGTCGACGTGCGGTATGTCGACTCTGCTCTGCTGCCTTCACTCGGCTGGGCATCATCCTGTTTAGAGTCTGGGTCAGTGTCCATTGCATCACTTCACTCGCAGCACGTCGTCCTACATTCGTGTCGTTGCCTACAAAGGTGTCGAAAGTCCGCTTGACTCCTCCGATAAAGTTAACAAGTCCGTCCATCGATCATAGCGGGAGAAGGAGCACATGTGTGAACGATTGTCGCAAAGATGCTCAGGTTTGGAAAGCGCCGTGTCTGTGACTGCCCGCGCGCGCAAACTTTTGGAGTCGTTGTTGATGGATAGATTGTTCTCGACGCCGCGTCCCACTCTTTGACTGGCATGAACGTTGGCTGGTGACTTCTATTTTCGATTCGAGTACTATTTGAGCACATCGCAGCTACCTATCATTCGTGGTTCCATACGCTTCTCGACATTGGCTCTTTCCTTGTGTCCTTCGCTATCGCTCGACACCTCGGGCCGTTGCTATCCGGATGCGGAAGTCATTGATCTTCGCTAGTCATGCAACGAGCTCACAAGCATTAGTATGACTCGTAACAGATGATCGAGATAAACGTGGCCGGCTCCAGCAAGATAACATCTCTCCAGACTCAACAATACAATTGCACAAGTCCCTCTCTGAGAGACTGTCTCTGATGGGAGCAGAATGTATGTGACCTTCTTGTTGGCGCTTTGTGGGTCAGACAGTACGTCTCCACTTCATGCAGCCTGTCTTCAAGTACGTCATAGGCTCCTCTCATCGTGTCACAAATCCATTCAGCTCTACAAGAGCTCAGCAAAACATCGCAGGCGTAGGTAAATTGGATGGTAAGTGCAATTACAGAGCGTGGTCCTTCAAAATTGTTCTCTGTCAAAAGTTACGGAGGTCGATATGGCATTCGAGAGCAACATCAAGGCACGTTCTCGTTTTCACGCGTCGTTGAATATCATGACTTAGGAAGCAATCAAATTCTGTGAACGCGTCTCGTATCTCAACAGCATCTTGCTATACCTTATCAGAGCTGACTGAATGCATCTGAGCCCAGAGGTGCTCATAGCTAGCAGGGTCGTGCCCGGCATGAAGTGGAAGTGGCTTTGGTCTGAGGGTCCATGATCGGCAGCCAAGAATGTCGGCTCGTGTCGTCTTCCACTCAAAACCGTTCGCTCAGACTCGTGGCAGTCGGCGGACTAAAAGGTGTGCGTCGGTGCACCTTCCTCAGGTTTTCTGTCCAGGCACGTGGAGTTTCTCATTGGTCTTGCCTCCAAAAAGCGTCATTCTGGTTCAATACGCTTTCCTATCGATCTCGCCGTCCATCTTGAAGCCGCAATCTGTGATGATATAAGATGCAACCTATTCCCTCCTGATTATGCGCCCTCTCATCAAAGCATTGTTAACCATTCTGTTATCGCTAGCCATCATGTTTGCGACATTATTCCTTCTTGCGGCCCCGTTCGCTCTTGGCCAGTCAGATATTGCTCTTTCGCAGGATATCCAGAATGTCCTCGCTGTCAGCAACAGCTCTCTGTATACCTATCCCACCGATCTGACTCAGGGAATTATGCCAAAGAACATTCATTCTCACAATGACTACTGGGTGCGTCCTGATTATGTCTGTCGTATATACAGTCCCATTCCCTAACCACTTTCCAGCNGTGCTAAGCCATTCTGGACCGCTCTTTCCAATGGTGTCGCCTCAGTGGAAGCTGACGTGTGGCTTTATAATGGTACCCTTTATGTATGTTATCTCGTTCAAGATCGATACACCTACATGGCTATAGAGCTATGACTCTGATTCTCTGGATCACTACTCACACACAGCAGGNTTGGACACGAGCAGTCTGCATTGACACATGCACGCACGTTCGACTCCCTCTACATTCAACCTATTCTCTCTGTCCTCAAGAAGCAGAACCCTAGCTCTCCCTTCGTGACCACACCTACTCACAACGGCGTCTTCGACACAGCAGCCGGTCAAACTCTTTACCTGTGGGTCGATGTCAAAACCAATGGCAGTGAAGCCTGGCCCTACGTTGTCAAGGCTCTTGAGCCTCTCCGTCAGGGCGGCTGGCTCACAAAGTATAACGGAACCGGAATCACCAATGGTACTGTCACTGTGATCGGAACCGGTAACACCCCTAGAGACCAAGTCGAAAGCCAGAACAACCGCGACTACTTCTTCGATGGGCCTCTATCCACCCTGAACAGCTCGGCAAACTCGAACATCACTCAATTCCTTTCCNCCATTGCAAGTACCAGTTTCTTGCAGTCGTTCGGTTGGCCAAAGGATGGCAAGCTCAACGACACCATGTTGGCCAAGCTGCGTGGACAAATCAGCTACGCGGCTGCCAAGGGGATCCAAACCAGATACTGGGTGAGTTTTGATGCGTTGCTCATGTATTTACATGTACTGACACTTTCTAGGNAAACTCCCAACTGGCCCATCAAGGACAGAAATGCCATCTGGCGTCTTCTCTGGGATGAAAACTCCTACCTCATTAACGCTGATGATCTTGTTGGAGCCGCAAACTTCTGGGAGGGTGATTACTAGGTATGTAGGTAGATTCCACTATCTTAACCAATTTGAAGAGGCGATTTTCTGTTCTCACTGCGCTTGGAACGATGTTGTGTTTAGAGACATGAGTGCTCTACGCAGAATTCTTCACATCACGTGAACGCGTAGAAGTCGCAGTGGTTTAGTGGTAAAATTCGTGCTTGCCATGCACGAGCCCCGTGTTCGATTCACGGCTGCGACAATTTCTTTTGCATATTTTCTACTGCTTCCCAGCCTTTTTGTTCCAGTCTTCTCACATGAACGGAGAGAACGGTCACAACACTGTAGAATGCTACTCAAGGCCATTACTGCTTCATGTTGATTACTTGATGTTGATGAAGGTCTAATCATGGTTTTTTTCTCAACAACTGTCCCGATTTTAGTAAGTGCAGATTGACGTAACGTTTGAAGGTCTTACTAGACTTGCGCAGCCTTCCAGATGCCTCTGCTGTAGTCCTCCACAGTCCGAGCAGAAAGATCCATGCTGTAGAAAGGAAGCCGTTGCTTGTTGAAGAAGACGAAGAAGAAGAGTTCTACGCGATGAAGAGGGAAAAGTGTTGTATGTGGCGAAACCCAGAGATTGTTGCAGGTGATGGCACGGACAAGGTGCTATAGGATCTGAAAGTAATGGTGAATCGCAGAGTGACGCCAATGAATCCCAGATCTTGACAGCACGTGCTATTGACTATCTCAGCAGTGATGGTAGTGCTCAGCCGTTTGGTGATTTACCTCCACACCAAAGCTTTAAAGGAAGTGTTTGATTACTGACGGATATCGGTAATCTCTCGGCGCGCAAAGAAGTATTTGGCGTGTGTTGCAGTCCAGAAGATCCAAGATCTTGGTCGATAAAAGGTAGAAAGTGTTGGATGGTGTTGAGGGAGGAAGTACAGATTTTGGAAAGAAAGGTGTACTATAGGTGTTAGAGAGGAGAAAGTGTTGTGAAATGTGAAAACTATCATAGATCACGGAGTGTTACCAGTAACTGGGGTCTTGACCACCTGTGTAATTGTCATTCTAGTAACGAAAATACCTATTCAGTTGACTTGTAAGATCCCAAGGCGATTAAGATCGGTGCTTGAGTTGAGTGAACATGATTTCCTCCACTTGTGTTATTCCAGCTATGTGAGCAATAGAAGACCTCAAAGCAACTATGTCAGTATGATTCACTTCGCGATGATTGGTTGCCAGACTGTGATCTAATAGAGAAGATCCGGGGTCTTCTCGCAGAAATTGATGAGGAGGAAAACGTCATGTTGACGAAGTCGGTGGCTGCCAACGGTGATGGCGTCTGCGATATACGATCGGGAAGTAAGTAACAAAATGAACACGTGCATGATGATCAAGTGGAAGCTGCAACTCTCTCTGCTGCTTCCTCTTCCATAAGGCTCTTGCCGTTCGTTTTGAATTGATTTCATGTGTTTTCGAACCATCTTGGATAGAGTTGCGAGAAATCAAGAAACGAGGCCTCTGTGCAGCTATACCCGACTCGCATATATGGTATTGTAGCGAATCGTCAAGTCTACCCGTCATCCTCATGGTCGAAGATTGCCCACACAAAACGTCGACCAAAATCCTACAAGCAACGCCGATATCCTCTCCTTCTCACCCTCACCCCCAAAAATCGTATCTACAGATCCTCTACAAAGCTCCACTAATGCCGTCTTATCAAGGTCAAAATTGATCGCAGCAAGCATATACTCATTGCTAAGCGTCGACTCGAAAATGCCTACATCGTCGGTAGACAAAGCAATGGGTACGCCAGCACTCTTCCACTCGCCGAAATGGTGAGCTGCATAGCCACCTTGACTTAGACCGCAGAGAACATTGCAGCTGAGGCATAGCTCGAGTCCGAGTCTGTTGTCTGTGATTGTTTTGCGTAGTGATGAGGGGACGTGGATGACATGACCCAGTCGTTGTGGTTGCCAGGACAGCATTTCTTCCAGCTCGCTAGGATCCTCTTGGGCAATCTCTGCAAAGTGCAACGTGATACTCAGTCCTTGGGCTCGAGCTTCGGCAAAAGCTGGTGCGAGATGAGAGATAGGCTTCTTCGCTGGGTTGCCGCAAAGATCCACTCCCACGATTCCCAGGTGGCGATACTTGAGAGCCAAACGCACGACTTCGGAAGCCTCTTCGAGCGTATTCTTGCGGTCTATCGACAAGATGAGTTTTGCATGCAGCTTGTCGTAACGAGGAGCTCCCTTGATGTCCTGCTTCAACGATGCCTCGAACTCACTCATGGCTTGCAAGACAGTTTTAACGTAGTCTTCTTTACTGATTCCAGCATCCGGGATTGCGCGCGGCGTAGTCCGAAGCTCCAAGTAGCAAACTCCATCGTGTTGAAAGTCTTCCAGGACAGAAGTGGTCGCATATCGTATGCTTTCGTCATCCGAGATTAAAGCATAGATATACTTGTCGAAGATCGGGAAAAAGCTATACGTTCATGTTAAACCATCTTCGCAGTGGAGATGCCGCTTTTCTCCATACCTGACAACATCAATTTCGCCATCTGCAGCGCTCGGTATAGTTGTCAATGGGTCTTGCAAATTAAACGAGGGATGTTTGGTTTTNTGCCGCAGCCATATGTTGTGGAGACATTTTCTACTGATGCTACCTGACAGATGAGCATGGAGCTCTACTTTTGGTAATCCTTTGGCGAAGGCAAGATCAGGTGGTTGCGACATTGTTCTGAGACCGATGCGGTTGGAAACCAGGAGGCGAGGTTAGAGAGCTTGCAGGTGGTAAAGAGGAACCGAGGCACCTCTTGTCCACATCTGAACCGGAAGGATTAGCCGATCAGCATAGCATAATATAAGACCACGACGATAAGTATCATTTTTGGAAATCAATACTTTATTGAAAATGATACTGGAAGCACGAAAACTAAAGCCCGCTTGAGTACAGATAAAACCAGTGGTTCACCAAGGGTAAGAACCAGCAGAAGCGCGGTATTCTGCTACCATCATAATAATCATTCATCGCGTGAGTCGATCATCCCCACAGTGCGTCCTTGCCGCGACCACTACCATGAACCACAGGAGGAGTAAGAATCTTGTGGCTCCACGCTTCTTGGCCGTCAATGAACAGACGATACCTCAGCTCGGATTGGTCAGAAGTGGGTGGTGTACTGATACTGAGGGCGCCAAACTTCGAGTTGCCGTCGGGCATGTACNNCTGTTACGAGTCAGCAGCTGCCGACATTTTAAATCGTATTCACGATACTCACTTAACACACACGTCGTCGTTGTCGGTCTGCTCGTACGTGCGGACGGGAAGATAGAACATGCTGAGCGGGCTAACGCTGAACTCATGAACTGTCGCGCTGACTGGCCACTTCTTTGTGCTCAGCTTGCCTGTCGTTGCATCGAGGCCGGTGACTTTGCCTTCGGTGGGTGGGGGAAAAGAGGTGGCAGCAAATTCGTGTCTGTCGCCACTAAGGACGACGACTCCGACACCACCGCGAAGGCCGACATCCCACATGGCTTCCAGAATGATCTGTCTCTCGCCCAGATATCCACCCCAGGTGTCTTCGGTTCCGAAGCGCCAATTCTTGGTGAACGGAATGCTGGAGACGACGACCTTCCATCTGACACCATTAGGAACAGGAGCTGCAAGCCAGTCGAGAAGATCCTGGAGCTGCTGGTCGCCGAGCATACTCTTTTTGTAACCAGTCTCGGCTTGAGTACTGTTGTAAGAGCCGTCAGTGCCGTCGAAAGGTTCACGGTAGCGGCGAGTATCGATCATGAAGAATGACGTGGGTCCTTGGTCGAACTTGAAGTAGGTCGCACCAGGACGAACTGGATCGGGATTGACAGAAGCTTGATAGTGGTGCCATGGGTCGACTGCAGCTTCGTAGACTCCAGTTGTGTTCTTGTCCCAGTCGTTCGCAATCTCATGGTCGTCTAAGACATGGATCCAAGGTAGCTTGGCCTCTGAGCTCACCGACTCCCATTGGGGCGAAGAATACACCTGACGGTACTCTCTGCGGTATGTCTCGGCATCGGTTCCAAATCGTTTAGGCACGTCGGCGTATATGAAATCACCCATGAAGACCATGAAATGAGCTTTGAGCGATGGCAGAAGCCTCGCCAGATGCTTGAAGCCGGGTACTTCGAGAGGGTGTTGCATCGGACTGTATGGGAATCTGGGCTTGATGCAGGACGAATGCAAGAAGGTGAAGACATCGTTGTTACGAGGAGCCGTGCGTCCAATTCTGGGCGCCGTGACGAAGAAGCCAGTGTGGTTGTTTGATGCCGCGTATTGGTACGTGGTGTCGGGTCTGAGCCCGGTCAGATGGAATATACCCGTGTAATCGGTGCCCTCGTCGACATCAATGGCGTTTTGAGGGTGCTTCCAGCTAGCGTCGTGATCACGGATGCCATCGTCGGGAGATTCACCTGCGTATCTGTAACTCATGCGCAGAGGGTGCTCAGATGTACGTGGCTCTCTGACTAGAAGCTTTGCACTGTTCTCGGAGACGTGGCCAAGACGTACGAAGGAAAGATTGTGAGAAGGATGGAAGAGCGGTGCGCGGTAGACCATGTCAGCCACCATGGCTAGCAGAGCAACGTTAGTCAAGAAGGTTACAGCAGACCAGAAGAGAGAGCTGGGGCTCGGCAGCCCGGTCAATAGACTGCGTAGAACCCTGGGGTCCTTCTCTTCGACCACGATGGTTTCTTGAACGTCGATATCCTGAAGAGGCTCTTCGGTCTCAGGGTCGATGAGCAACTCATCATCACTGTCGTCGCGATCAATCGTGTCCCTAGTGATGATGTCAAGCTCATCTGCCACGACTTCATACGGACTTGTGTGAGTAAATTGATAGAAGAATGATGTGACATAGATAGCGAATGCGGTCAGAATGACAGGAGGTGCAACCTGAGTGTGTTAGTACTATACTTGAATACCATTCAAATTGGATTGCAACGAACATGGCCGGGAATCTGGGAGTACGGTCAGCGAGCGCCCGGACGATCAGAGCTTCTAGCAAGAGTAAGCGNNAACCCAGCGGAGAAAGACATAAGTGGCCAAGCGCAGCACTGTGGAAGATAGCACTGTTACCGGACCTGCGATGCTAGTCGACATGATGGGCGCGCTTCTGCGGGCGTGTTACGATGTGCCAGAAAGTTGTAGAGATAGCATTCCAAGTTCAGCAAGTAAGAAGAACTGAATGTTGTGTGAGCGAAAGACAAGCTGGAATGGCGAGACGCGTTTGTCGGATCATCGTCATAGCTTGCATGTGACTTCGCGGGGAAGTTTATGCACGGCTCATGCAGAAGATGTGACATGGTCGATTGCGTCTATCAACATGCACAATCGCCATCGAATGTGTCGACAAGAAATAAAGATCTGGATCCAAGTCCTATTTTTACAGGTTTACAGTAGTAGAAACACACCCATCATACCCCACCCAATGTTCCGATATTGCGCCGTAAAGTGCAGAGAGTTTTTGTCGTATATGTACAGTTGACATGGCTTATTTCTTGTTGTACTTCTGCCATCTGCGCTCGTAGTCTTCGGCGCTCTTCATGAACTCGGTAGAGCGTGTCTTACTCTTGGGCTTGCCGGATGCTCCACGCATTCTGACGACTTGATCGTTCATGCTCTGCTTCATGGCATCCCAAGACTTGCCGGCGTTGTTGAAGAGACCGAATCCCTTCTCCTTGACGCTGTCAAAGGGACTCTGAGGNGCCTGAAGAACGGCATCGGCGGATGCTGTAGATGAAGCTGTCTTCCTAGCAGGTGCAGAGCTAGTGGAAAACTTTACGTTGGGTGCTTGGTATATAGGTCTCTGATCGGCAGGGTAAGATTTTGCTTTGACGTCGATGGTCTTGGGCTCTTCTTTGACAAGTCCAGCGGCCACGGCATCACGGTGGGCTTGCTCAGCATCAACCATGGGGGTCAGACCGAACATGCGACGGATATCAGCACGCTTGAAAAGGTGGACCTGTGCCACACCCATGATACCAGTGGTACAAAGCCAGACATTGAGAGCAGCAGGAAGCCAGGCGGTGGTAATGAAGACGATACCAGGGAAGACATATAGCAAGAAAGGTCTCATGGATGCAGTCATGGGAGTGCCAGTTTCACCACCCATGCGCATGACCATATGCAGGGTGCCACCCATGATGGCGGGAAGAAGGAAGTATGGATCGGTCTGGGTCAGGTCGGCAATCCAGAGAAATCCGCCAGTCTCAAGACCGGGGACGGGGAGGTTGGACATGGCACGCAGCAGACGGAAAGCGCAGAAACCAAAGACACCCTGCACAACACTGGGCACGAGCATGCCGATAGTGCTGACACCAGCAGCCTTGTTGATGGCCATCATCTCCTGGCGCATCTGCATGGCAGTAACTCTGTCGCCGTTTCTCATGGCATCCATCATCTTGTCGTTCATGGGCTTTGTGATGGGCTGCATTGCGCGCATCTTGGCACCGTTCTCGCTCGCCTTCATGAACATGGGAACCAGGGCCAGGCGATAGAGGAAGGCAGTTGCGGCGATGGAGCCCCACCAGGGCATACCGGAGAGGACATGAACGTGTTCCAGCGACCACTCAATCACCGAAGTCGGACCCCAGCCGTAGTCCAGACCGAGATCCTTAAGGAAACCGAGTCTCTCGGGCAGGTTGGCATAATCGGTAGCGTCGCTAATGTCAAAAGGGTTGCTGTCGGTCGCGAGAGCATCCGTAGCAGGTGTGGGTGGAGGAGCGATCGTGGCGGCAGGAGCTGCAGCAGGAGCTGATGTCGAGGCAAGACGAGCATGTGCGGGGAGCGAGATGACGGAACCTTGCAAGATGCGACTTGTCGAGCGCGAGTTGAGTGCAGCCAGCGGCCTCGAAGGAGTGGACATNCTAGCCCGTGTAAGTCCATATCATCGCCCTCGCGCGCGTTCATGACATACAAATCTGCGATTGAGACGAGCGCCTTGACGGACGGCGCTCGCCAGTCCTCTACTCGGCATCATCATGGCTGTGCGGGTTGATGTGATTGCCCAGAATCTTTTTCCAGCCTCCACCCATCATCGCCATCTTGTCTACCCCGGCATCTTCCGCCGACGAGAGACGCTTCCGCAACTCACCCCCGAGGCTGCTTAAGTATCGAGACTTTGCCAACCACCATCTTACTTCTCCGAGTCGAAGATAAATCTGCAATGGCAAGACTGCATCATCATAGAAATGCGGCACAGTTGTTGGGGCTTGAGCGACCAGTATTACTATCTCTCATGCCCATCCCTCAACAATTTCAAAATGTCTTTCTACGGCGACAGCGGTGAGGTTGTAAGTCATCAAAGGATGCGATCGATTGGGTATCAGTGCTGGTATCACAAAGATGATTGTAATCATGTCTCTTCTTGAATGTCGCTTCTGCTCTCGAAAGTAGGTATTGTGCATCAAGCTTCAGACCTCGGCATCCCTCTTTCTCCACTTCGACCAACCTGGCATTCTTCATCTGTTGATTCATGTTTCACCTTTTCAATACAAACCTCTGACTACCGCCAAAAGCTATGGCTGAAACGCCAATCCTCGTTGGTGTGGGAGACATCATCAACCGTAATCTTGCAGTCCATCATGCCGCAGAACCTGCTGAGCTGATACTCGATGCCATTTCCATTGCCTTGCGAGACACCGGCCTATCGACTCAAGTCATCGCAAACCTTCAATCCAATATCGACAGCATAGATGTTGTTCGCACTTGGACATGGCCATATCCGGACCTACCTGGTCTGCTCGCTGAGAGACTCGGCACACGACCTAACCACACCTATTGCTCCNCCCATGCAGGTAATCAACCTGCCAAACTGGTCGACGAAGCAGCTCGCAGGATCGCGAATGGGGATACCAAGCTGGCTGTAGTCACTGGAGGTGAGGCATTAGCATCGCTGGCTGCTTGTGCGAAAGCAGGAGTCATACCACCGCCGAACTGGACTCCGGTTGAGACGCCTGTCACACAAGTGTTCGCTCCCTCAACCAGAGAAATGGCCAAAGGTATCGGAGCGAAACACACGATCGGAGCACCCATCCAAGTATATCCCCTCTTCGAGAACGGTCTTCGTGCTCAGAGGGGCCAGTCTTTGGAAGACAACAATACTGAAAGTGCGAAACTGTATGCTGAGTTTGCTCAAGTTGCCAACAAGAACCCACTTGCTTGGAACTTTCCTCGAGCGCCAGAAACAGAAGATACGATCGGTCGCGTCTCCAGCAAGAATCGCATGATATGTTCTCCATNNGTAGGTTCAGTCAACCCTTCGGCTGTGCAAGGCTGACTTTGAGCAGATCCTCTGTTAATGAATGCTTTCAACACGATCAACTTGGCCGGAGCAGTGATTCTGACATCAGTCTCATATGCTCGCGAGTTAGGCATTGCCCAGGAAAGATGGATTTATGTGCTTGGAGGAGCAGGCACACAAGATAGCGCCGATTTCTGGGAACGACCAAACTTTCACTCTAGTCCTGCCATCAGTCGCACTTTGGACGCCGGACTCGAGGCGTGCGGACTCAACAAAACCGACATAGACATGTTCGATTTCTACAGTTGCTTCCCGATAGTACCCAAGCTCGCCTGCCTACATCTTGGTATGGACATTTTGAAGCCTGAGAAGCCCACCACTCTGCTTGGCGGTCTAACAAGCTTTGGAGGAGCAGGCAACAACTACTCTATGCATGTGGGTGCCTTCCATGATCTAGCTGCACTACGTTCAGCTGACCTCAAGAATAGGNCAATCACAGTCATGGCGCGGAAGTTACGTGCAGGCAACGGCACTCATGGTCTCGTGCTTGCAAATGGAGGTGTCTTGACATACCAACATGTCATCTGTCTATCTTCTCGACCACGGACGGATGGTCAACATTATCCTGCTCGTAACCCTCTTCCTCCCGTGCTCGAGGACACCACAGTACCCAGGATCGATGAGACTGCTGAAGGTGAAGCCATCATTGAGGTGAGTTGTCCATAGTGCTATGGAATTGTTCGAGTACTAAGGCTTCCCAGANCATACACAGTCGATTTTGACCGCAAGAACGAACCTTTGCTAGGTCATGTTGTAGGAAGGTTGAAGAAGTCTGGGCATAGGTTTATTGCCAATCATGGAGATGTGGCAACGTTGAAGAGGCTTGCAAGTAGAAGCGAAGAGCCCATCGGTAAGAGCGGCTATGTACGGACAGATGGCCAGGGTCACGGAAGAAACTTGTTTTCTCTGGACGCGAGCTCTAGGCTGTAGAGAAACGGTGGGCAGCTGCCGCGGGGAATTGTCTTGAGAGCAATGACTTAATGAAGGCCTACTTGATTCCTAAAATATCTTGAGCGTCAATGTGTGCATGCTACATCGGGAAAGCTGTCAAGTAGAGGAAGCTGAAGAGGTGTCAAGGTAGGGTTGCATGTCTTGACGAGCAGGATTCAGGCGGACAACGGCGTCGCAAGCGAGCAGATACTAATACGGCCAGGTGCAGATAACGATGATGCTGTATAGAGACGGCAAGATGAGGAGTATATGCTGTAGCTACAATTCCGGTCGGCATGTGATAGGGAGATTGCTGTATTTGTTTACTCTCATGCAAGCGAAGCCGAGCAGAAGTGATCAGCAGTGAATGACGTTGGTCATTGGCAACCCCCACCTTCGCGCACAGATAATGAAGGCTATTCTCGTCTGCGTCACTCACTCTAACTTTCGTCCTGTCGTCTTCAAATCGATAAACACAACGTCTCTGACTGTAGCCTCATACACTCCCTCGAGCGACTACAACAATACTCACATTCCATACTTCGACACCCTATCTATCCTTCAGCCTACACCTATCTGCAGCAATCATGACCGCTACCAACTCTTCACCCGAGGTTCCTAAGAGACCCAAAGGTGTGTTGCGCTGCTCCTACTCTCACCACTCAGCTAGCTAAGTTGCATGGCAGNGCATCTTGAAGAACAACAGCTCGTACATGGGCGAGAACCCCTCCCAAGGTCCTCCTTCGCCAACAAACACACATGCCGCCATCCACACCGACACTCCCAACCACCCCGACCGTCCCGCCATGAACCGCGAAATGTCTGAGAAAGAGGTTGTCCAAATGAATACTGAGATAAACGCCGGCGGCCGTCGCAATTCGTCGAATCCCCGTAGCAACATCTCGCGTCGCCAGTCGGCTGCTGATGGAAGCCACCAAGGAGAGCACCCGTCGCCGAGACTGAAGTGGGATGAGGGCAACCTGTTCCTCAATGAGAGCCAGATGGGCGGCAAGATGAAGATCGATGAACCAAAGACACCCTACGTCGGTCGCTACGATCCTGATGAGGACGAGGAACCACAAAACATCAATCCTGACGATTTGATGGTCGACGAGCTCGACAAGGCCCAGGTGCTCGAAGGCGATGGCTCTAGCAAGAGGAAGCCCCGTGAGGTTGATATCCCCGATCTCGACCTTGGAGAGCCCGAGCAAGACACGCTTGAGCGCAGACACAGCGACTCGGAGAAGAGAGTCATGGTCGACCCTGATCAAATGGACATTGACGGCGCAAGACATGGCGAGACTCCCGAGAACATTCCCCAGGAGGAGAGGGAGAAGCATGAGAAGTTTGAAAACATGAGAAAGAAGCACTACGAGATGCACAACATCAAGAACTTGCTTGGGTAAGTGAAATTTCTTAAGCTTACCTGGTCTACTTCCACAGCTGACATTTCCTCTAGACATGGTGCTGAGGAGCTTGACGACGAGTAATCGAGTAGACATTACGCCGATTATCACACGACCAAAGATTGGTGTTTCTCTTCTATTTCCGTATTTCCGTGTTGCATAGCGGCGTTATACATCTGGGATGCGTGCATGGATCACTTTGGGAACTTGGGCGACGGTGGCACGGATTTTATGACTTTTTCCTTTGCAATCAGAACATATGCCGTTGATTCGTTCGCATTGATCTGTTCTTCTCTCATGATTTGCGCAGGTGGTGGCTCTTGTCTCATTCCGGACTTGATTACTTCTGTATTATGACTCTCGCTCTGCGCGAATCTACGTCTAAACATCACTCAATACTGCAATGACAAGTCATGGACGAACATCCTCAAGCAGGGTTAGGCTTGAGACCAATCTGCAAACGCAGCTTCTCCCTCTTCATCATCTCATTTCCATCACGATCAGCCTCGAGAGCACTGAGCATGGCGTCGACAACNAGTAAGTTCATTGCCAAGCAAATCAGCAAGTGTTCGTAATGATTTGTTAGATGGTTGCAGGTAAACTCACCGCTCAGCTTCGCCAACGCCTTTGGCGTCTCTGGAAACTTGTCCAGTGGTCTCCCATTCTTGAGCGAAAGCAGGGGATGCAGTTTATCGTCTGCACTGACTAGTTGACTGTTGGCTACTCTGGCAACATTGTTTGCATTTNNCTGTTTTGTTTTTTAATGGCGGTCAGCGGAACAGTTTGCTAGATCGTGTTTACATGTGCAGCCGTTTGGGCCAAGGCGACACTTGAGAGAGGCAAAAGGATAGACGTACACGGCTTTGGTCTTGATGTCTAGTTTCTCGATCATGCGGACGGGGTCCTTTTCGCTGCCGGCAGCGGCTGGGGCTTTGGCTTGCTTGATGGGCGTGGTGGTTGATTGAGACATTTGTGTGTTCTATTCCTCTTTGTGCTCAGCAGCGGTGTGTTTTGAATGGCGTTGGTTTATTTTTGGCTGAAAATCACCAAATAACAAATTTGGATAAAAGTCACGCAATGATGGGAAAGACAAAAGAGAAGATGGACGACATGACGGCTGCCTTGACTTTTTCAATGATGGAACAGAGATGCTGGTTCCTGGATGCATGGATGCGAACCTGTTCCTGGATCCCTGTCATGTCATGAGTTGGCAGACGGGACATGCGAAACTCTGATGCCGGCTGTGACGAAATGGAAGCTGCGAGTCAAGCAAGCTCTCCTTGTGGAAGGATTTCCGCGATGTGATGGAGTCTGTTGCATGAATAGCTATGGGCATACACGATAGATACGGAGATCATGGCAACGTCTATTGGAGGCCATATAGTCCTCGGCTTCTACTAAACACATTACTGATTTGAAGCTGCTTGATTGTCAACTCGAAGATGAACTTGTGACAGCTTGGGAAGGTGGAGGAGCTTTGGAAGGAGCTTCTCCGCACCACACCTGCCGTTTCGAGAAGAATGCGATGGCACGGTGATTGGCTGACATTAAGTCCGAAGAGGCAGGAGCTCGAGCTCGGGTCAATTGGTCAGATGAGATGGCGGTGCCTGGGGCAACTGCATCAGTCATACACATCCAAAGGCCACCTGCTGATAACACGACTCGCTCTTTCCTCCCCAGAGTACATCTATTCCTCGACTTGCTCACTCGCATACCGTCTCAATCCCCTCCTTCCGTTTTACGTCCTTTGAGCAATCACAACACAGCCATCATGGTCAAGAACATGCAGGGATTGTCCCGCAAGACGTCAACACAATCCTTTGACCACCCAATGAACTCGCCGCCGCCGCTATTCGAAATGCCTCCCAACTTCAGGGAGAGAATCGAGGCCGAGATCAACAGAGCTTCCTATTCGGACTATCGCACACAACTCGAGCTCCTGCACGAGCACAACAAGCAACGCCTCGCCATTGAACAACTACAGCTGGACAAGATGTTGCAGTCTGCCACACTACACGCCCAATCCTCCTCGTACCGACCTGTGCCTGAGCCACCTGCCCCCATCTTCGCCACATCGCAGAATGCCGAGTCCTATGCTAAGCCATTCTGTGACTTCTTGACCGACAACCCTACTGTCTTTCATGCCGTCGACAGCATGGCTCAGGACCTCAAGCACTACGGCTTCACCAAGCTTAGCGAGAGAGACTCGTGGCGTATCGAGCCTGGTGGCAAGTACTTTGTCGAGCGTAACGGCAGCAGTCTGATTGCTTTCGTTGTCGGCGACGACTATAAGTCTGGCAATGGTGCCGCTGTACTCGCTGGCCACGTTGACGCTCTCACCGCCAAGCTGAAGCCTGTTAGCAAAATTCCCAACAAGGCTGGTTACGTCGAGCTTGGTGTCGCTCCCTATGCAGGCGGTCTCGGCCCTACCTGGTGGGACCGCGACTTGAGTATCGGAGGCCGCGTTCTGGTCAAGGAAGGAAACAAGATTGTTACAAAGCTGGTCAAGCTCGGCTGGCCAATCGCTAAGATCCCCACACTGGCACCTCACTTTGGCACCCCTGCCAATGGCCCTTTCAACCTCGAGACGCAGGTTGTTCCCATCATCGGACTCGAGTCGTCGGCAAAGAACCAGATTGAGCCTCAGGCCAAGGCTGGTACTTTCGCTGCTACTCAGCCTCCTCGTCTCGTCCGCGCCATTGCCAAGGAGTTGGGTCTCAGTGATGGCTCTAGCATCGTCAATTGGGAGCTCGAGTTGTATGATATCCAGCCTGCCACTCTTGCTGGTCTTGACAAAGAATTCATCACCGCAGGCCGCATCGACGACAAGTTGTGCAGTTGGGCCGCACTCGAGGCTCTGAAGCAGAGCGCTCATAATGGCACTTCCGGCTCTAGCATCATCAAGATGGTTGGTCTCTTCGACGATGAGGAGATTGGCAGCGGACTCCGACAGGGAGCCCGTGGCAACTTCTTGCCAACTGTTGTGGAGCGCGCTGTCGGCAGTCTTGCAGGTCAACACCCTGGATCAGATCTTGTTGGCCGCACATACGCAAACTCATTCCTCGTCTCTTCCGACGTCACTCATGCCGTCAACCCCAACTTCGAGTCCGTATATCTCGCCAACCACGCCCCTCAGCTCAACGTTGGTGTCTCGGTTTCTGCAGACAGCAATGGTCACATGACCACAGACGCAGCGTCTACTGCCATCTTTACTCGTTGCGCAGAAAAGGTCGGCGCCACCCTACAGGTCTTCCAGATCAGGAACGACTCAAGATCAGGTGGTACTGTTGGACCTATGCTCAGTTGCGCTACCGGCATGCGTGCCATCGATGCAGGTATCCCACAGTTGAGCATGCACAGTATCCGTGCTACTACCGGTACCTCGGATCCTGGTCTTGGTGTCCAGATGTTCCAAGGTTTCCTTGACGGCTTCGAGTCCGTCGATGCCGAATTTAGAGATTAGATGCTTCTCGTATACGGCGGAAGTACTCATTGCATCATAAAGGCTATATGCCGCTAATTAGATATACTGCCATAATACCATCTTCTCAACATCGACATCGTCATCTTCCGTGGTATCACTACTCCGACGGCCTTGAACAAGTTTCTACCCTTCACAAATGACTAGTTACTTGAAAGAGCCACCATGTATGCGGGGACAGAACACCAACGGCTGAACAACGGCGACCGCTGGTAGAGTGAGGAGCATTCCTTCAGCTGAATAGCTGAATGCACTAGAAACGTTTCAATCAGATACTCGCAAGAACCAAATGGAGACGAACTCTCTGCAACTTTATGAACTTGTCTCAAGCAGACTCGAGCTGAATAATCTGCTTTTCGAACGCCACTTTCCTGATATTGTAGAGCTACGAAAACCAGTCCCTTGAGTGTTCCGTAGTCGCAGTCTGAGCAACTCCTGGTCGACGCGACCCTGTGTGCTATATAACGTGCCGTCCCATCCCAATTCAATTCTCTTTCTCACTAGCCCTCGTAGGCATATCTTTCTTCCTCATCTATATCTCTCCAAGATGAAACTCAACACCACTGTTGCTCTTGCTATACTCGGCGTTGCAACCGCTGCACCCCTGGAAGATCGATCATCCAAGGCTGCTACTTGTTTTGCAGTTGATCTTGTGGTCGACCTTCTACGCCTATATCCCTCGGCTTCACCATTCTGCTCATCCGTCTTGCGAATCTCAACCATCACTACCACCAAGACTGTATCTTCTACAGCTTCTTACACTTCACCCCTCACCACCACAGTCCCTACCACGGTCTCAACATTCACGAGCACTGCTGAGCCTATTACTGAANTATTCAACCATGTCAGCACAAGAAAGTATCTTTTGAGAGACTTCGTCAACTAACGTTCATGTAGTGGAACAACCATTACGACTTGCATCCCCTCCGCCGTGAATAAGCGTGGTCTTGAAGGACGTGGCCGAGGCACAGCTCCCATACCTGCCAGCATAAGCATTCCTGGCGTATGTGCTGGAGCCCCTGGTGTTCTCAAGAACATTGCCTGCAACGCGATCACAAGTGCTTGTGGTTGTCTCGGCATCCCGACTCCGACGTCTACTGTAACGCAGACTCTGATCTCATCCACGACTGCTTATCCAGTGGTGACGGCGTACTCGAGCATTGTAGCGACTATCACAGTGACAAGTACTACCACAGTTCCTACGACATCAACCTCTACGGTCAACTATTGTCCCGTGCCCTCAAGTTGCAACAATGCCGGAATCCGATGGGTGAGATGCTATCTCCTGAATGCTGTGTTGAATATTCATACTGAAGCGATATCCAGGNGATACTACCCCAACTACGAACACAACAACATCGGCGGTGACGACGGCTACTACAGAAACTACGACCCCACAGTCATAAAATCGCTAACTCCTGACTACCAATCCACGGCATCCGTCTGCGGCGGACTAAACTTCGACTACGTGACCTCCATCTCCATCTACGGAAGCTCACAAACCTTTGCCTCTGAATACTTCACTCTAAACCACGTCGGCTACATTTTCGCCCAAGTCACCGGCACGTACACGTTTACTCTGAGTAATGTGGATGACATTGTGATGCTTTGGCATGGTGACCATGCCATCTCGGGCTGGACACGCGATAATGCAGATGTCACGGCGATTTATTCTGTTCAGCCCACTGCGTCTGGCACTGTTGATTTGGTGCAAGGACAATATTTGCCGTTTAGGATTGTGTTTGGAAATGCGCAGGGGGCGATCAAGTTTACCGTGCAGCTTGCTGCTCCTGATGGGACCGTCATTTTGGACAGTAATACGCAGGACTCGAAGTTTTTGGTCAGGTATTCTTGTGATGGGGTTGTTGCTCCTGAGTTTCCTGCCTTTGGCTCGGAGACTTGAGATGATGCTTGGAGGGAGTTGATGTTAGAGACCGTGGGAGTTGCTTTGGTGCGATAAGATCTCGGTTCAAGAGTTGTATCTCAATGATTTACTATACTTCCTCTCTGAGAATTCGCTTCCTTGCGGAGTGTTTGATAGGATAGTTCGGATGTGTTGGTCTGATTTTTTTGATGATAATGACAGACACTGGGCATCCTTTTTGAATAATCTGGTGCAAAGCATATTAATATTCATGTCGAAGCAAGAACGACGGGAATAATGAAAACACACGTTGCATATCTTGTCAGACTAAGCAGTTATATCTCTAGCCTCTCCTTTGTCCCACCTTGAGATAGTTCTGCGTCTCGTGTTTACCATTAAATGTCTGCTATAGTGTTTTTGTCCCTCGACTCTCTGATAGAATGTAGAGGTTCTATAGTATGCTCGTTGGCTGGTGGTAGATGATGTAATATCATGTTGGACCCCAATCCACTTGTTGGAAGCTGTAGAGCACTTCCCGCTCACGGACAATCATCAAAGTACCAAGTGCCAGTATCATGATCATGCTTTGAGTCAGCAAAGAAATGAGCAAATCTGGACTCGGGCGAGGGGTCAGAAGCAGCAGTGCCCTTGAGATAAGCTAGATCGGCGGTGTGAAACTTATTGTCGGCACAGACTATTAAAGATGTGAGCAGAAGTTCCAGTGTTCATATGCGACAGACATACCTTGCCAATCCTGAGCAGAGTAGTGGTCATGGTAGAGACAGGACTGACCTCTAGTGCCTCCATGACGATCGCAGTTACATCCCGCTTGTTTTGCCGGGGCTATCTTCACAGCACGGATTTTCCATCACACGTCTCTTTGAATCTCTGCAGAACCAGAAGCGTTTTGTTTCCGTTCGCAGACTGATCTTGGTCGAAGAAGTCTTTGCACTCTACTCTACTCTATCCACGATTTGCGACGATAAGAGAATCCATTGACGGGACGACTATCACAAGGCACAATCGTATTCAGAAGCAGAGGCGTAGCCAAGGAGAGCCGCAAAGATGTCGACTCTCAGAGAACACTGTCCAGTTTCTTGATACCACTGTGACTTTCTATAACTACAAACGTTACAGACTGGTAGCAATCGAGACGTCAGCACAAATGGATCGTTGTCTCTCAGCATACAGACTCACATTTGTGCAATTGCCCATCGTTCAGATCCTCTATATGACCAGTTTCTAGATCTACCAGTCTGATCAAGCCGCTTCTTCTTTGGTCCACACGTAGCAATATGATGAGTGTTGCTGCTAGGAACCGACTGAAAGAACCGCCACCATGATCGTCAATCTCCTTTCTCCAAAAACATCCTCTCCGTCTGGTTCTTCCAACCATCTCACTACTGTGGTGTGCAGTTTGACGCTTGATTCCTTTCTCTTTTCTCGCTGAAGCGATCATCGCCGTTCGGTTGGCCAAGGTATTCAATACCAGGTTTGAACACATGACGTGGCATGAAGTTCCTAGCGCAAGCTTGCAGATATGGTCAGCACAAATCATTCGTAATCACAGATTGTCTCGCTTACTTGAACTCCATTCTTGTGTGTCTACGTGCTCATGGTAGTGGCATGCGTTGCTCGTTGGATCCCCATAGCCCCTTGCCTTCTTCGTGAGATGCCCGTTCACCAGTTGGGCATAGAAGTCTGCAGGGAAGTCTTCTGGAAGGTAACCACGTTTCTTCCAATCCCAAGCGACCATCTTGTTCTCGCGTTCCTGAATGTTTCGATCGGCTATGGCTTCGTCCAGTAGAAATCGTCTGAGTCCAGAGTGTTGGGGAAGTTGAGAGACAAGTCTTGCCATGTCACCAGGAGTCGCAGGTCTACGAAGACATGTGACCAGGCAAGTCATGATGGTCCTGCGAAGGGCGATGATGTCGGTCTGGTCGGCGAAGACATAAAGTGCATAGACATCGCTGTGATCGACTCCTTTCCAGGCGTTGTATTCGAGGCGTCCAGTGTAGAGCCACACCACAAATGTTTTTGTCTGCTTGCCACTGAGCTCGAGAGTAAAGAGATCTTTGTGACGCTCAGAGAAACCACCCTTGATTGCAGCAGTGTAGTAAGGCGAATAAAAGCAGAGATACTCTTTGTGAACGGTCGTGGAGAAGATAAAGCCGCTGCCGTCGTCCTGGCTCTTGACTCGAATCATGTCGGTTGATTTGTTGATGATGTCGCTGGATGAAAGTTAATAGACTTATCTTGAAGGATCTGACTGGGCGCACCTCATCACCCACCAACGCCAGATGCGCTTGTCGTAGGTTTCAATCAGCTCCGTCGTGGTTGAATTGAAAGTAATGTGGTTACCGTGGCTGGACCTGTGGTTTATGAATTTGACAATTTGAGATGCTCAACTTGGTAGCCTTTATAGCGGATCGTTCTGCAATATGTCCAAGCGACGCAGTGCGCCGTATTGAGGTAGTTGTTAGCGACATGTCGTTTTGGACTTTGCTCTCACAATGGACGACTATGAGTCAAGTTCTGCTTCGGGCGACGATAGAGACACAGTCGAGACAAGTGACTATCCTGAGCCAGACAGGTCGCTTACTTGAAAGAAACAATGTCTTATGCTGAACTTTTTCTTCTGATACAATGTGATAAGAAAGCATACTACCAGTCAGAGGTCGCATCATGAGACCCGTTCTCTGCAACCCTGTAGAATTACACGACCAGCTGGAGGTTAAACAAAACTAAATAAAAGACGAAAGGTATCTTTGAGAACTCGCGCACCGAATGTTTGTTGGACTCGGATCCAGAAGTGATCAAGCTTAGCGACGTCCGGAGCGGGCAACACTGCCTTGCATACCCTCGATCTCGGTCTCCAGTTGCTTGATAAGCGCGTGGCTGGTCTCGAGGTCCTTGTTGAGACGGTCGCGCTCGGCAATGAGCTTCTGCTCCCAGGCACGGAAGCGCTGTTCCTCAACCTTGACTTGCTCTGTGAAACGCTTGCGAAGAGCCTCTTCCTCCTCCTTAAACTTGGGGTTATCAAGCTTGCGTGGCCTGGCTTCGCCGAACTTGCGGGTCTCCATTTGCTGTGCGCGATAAGCCTCGTAGTGGTTCTCCTCTGTGGTGTGGATCAAGTCGAGCATGTGTGCGCGGATCAAAACGGCGCGCAACTTCTTGAAGTCGCAGTGCTCCTCGTTCTCCACCTCGGCAACACCCCAAGCGTATTGTCTGCCCTTGACGCTGCGGCCGTCGGGAGTGGTGACGTCCTTCTCGGAACCAATGACGGCGAAAGGCATGGAGGTGATGAGGGATTGAGCGTGTCTCATGGCGGACTCGTCGTCTTCCTCGAGGGGAGGGGAGTAGATCTTGATACCCTGAGCTTGGATGATGTTGCTGATNCTGTGGGGAGTCAGAATGTGGGGAAATGCAGGGACATGGTGAAAACATACTCTCGACTTGAACTTCAAGAGGTCGTTGGGGCTGAGAGTATCTGCTTTTGCGATGACGGGGATGAGGTTGACGCGGCTAGACAGACGCTTCATGACTTCTATGTCGAGGGGCTTCAGGCCGTGACCGGTGGGGCGGATGAAGTAAAGACAGGCGTGGACGCGCAGGTCGATGCGCTCACCACGACGGGGCTGCTGCTCCTGGAGCATGTATGACTCGTGCTGGTCGTCGAGGAACTCGATGATGGGTTGCCATGAGTCTCTGTTGTTGACGTAGTCGCCGAAGCCAGGAGTGTCGATAACGGTGAGGCGAACNTGGAGAGATGGTCAGAAATTGGTTGGAAGGAGAGGTGGAAGGGTGGTAGACGACGGACCCTTGAAGAACTTCTCCTCGAGCTCGGCCTTTGTGATTTCAATCTCAACAGTCTTGTCAATCTGCTTCTGGTGACGGCGGCGGTGGTCTGCGTAGTTCTTGATGGTGGTGGAGAAAAGGGTGTTGATGAAGGTAGTCTTGCCGAGACCAGACTCGCCAGCAACCNNTGAGCTTGTGTAAGTATTTCTGGGGTGCGACAGGAGGCGTGTCGATGAGCTGACCATGATTGTGAAGGCGGCGCCGCGCTTGGCGACAATCTTGTGGCTAGAAGAGGGATTAGTCGATGGACGGTCGAGTACGCGAGGCGAGTATGTACCGTTGGTTGGGGAGCTACAGCAGAGTCAGCCATGAAGTCAAGTAGTTCCAGCAGCGCATCACATACGTTGGCAATGCCAATGGGCGAAGCAGAGTCGGCCATGATGGTCGGTGTTGGGTGTGTGGTATGTGTTGGATGGCGAAACGAGTGACAGACGACCAGTCAGCAGCGCAAGATCAGGCGCGGCTTCCGGAAATGACGGTGAATTGAGCAGGTGCGATAGCAGGTATAACGCAGGCAGGAGCAAGACAGCCTCGTGTATGGTTGGAGTAAGGTCTCCTTTCCTCTGAGGAAGCCGCCCGGTCGCACGGTCGCAGGATCGATCCGTGCACTCCCGTCGCCGAACCCTTTTGCGGGGAAGCAGAAGAAGCCTCCGACAAATCCAGAAAAAATAATGGAAGCTGCGACCGAGACATAGACAAGATGAAGACTGATTTCAAGGTCTGTTCCTGCCTCTGTTGTCTGTGGGGTCGCGTATACTGATATTCTGTCCAGTTCTCCAACTTGCTCGGTACCGTGTACAGGCGAGGAAACCTTTGCTTCAGCCCCGATGGCACATGCTTGCTGTCGCCCGTCGGCAATCGCGTTACTGTCTTTGACCTAGTCAAGTGCGCATTCCTCCTGCGCTCGCCCATCCATATGCATGTACTGACTCAGCTTCTANGCAACAAATCGCATACCCTCCCCTTCGCACATCGTCGCAACATCTCCCGTCTAGCCTTGAACCCCAAAGGCAACCTCCTTCTCACAGTCGACGAAGACGGACAGGCCATTCTCACCCACCTCCACCGTCGCGTATCCCTCTACCACTTCTCATTCAAGGGTCCGGTCTCGTCGCTTGTCTTCTCGCCCTCCGGTCAACATTTCGCCGTCGCCCTCGGCCGCAAGATCGAAACTTGGAGGACGCCCTCCACTCCCTCAGATACCCAGGATGGCTCCCTCGAGTTCGCCCCCTTCGTGAAGCACAGAGAGTATGCCGGTCACTATGACACAGTACAGAGTATCGAGTGGTCTAGCGATTCGCGTTTCTTCCTCACTGCCTCCAAGGATCTGACCGCGCGCATTTGGAGTCTGGATCCCGAGGCTGGCTTCGAGCCCACTACCCTTGGTGGTCACAGACAGGGTGTTCACGGTGCATGGTTCTCGGCCGATCAAGAGACGATTTGGACAGTGTCAAAAGATGGTGCTCTTTTCCAGTGGCAATACCTACCGCCTCGCAACGCTCCTGAGGATGAGATGGACATTGAAGAGAACTTCCGCTGGAGAATTGCCGAGAGACACTACTTCATGCAAAATGGCGCCACCTTGACTTGCGCTTCCTTCCACCCAGAATCAAATCTCCTGGTTGCTGGCTTCTCAAACGGTACTTTCGGCCTTTACGAGCTTCCCGATTTCAACCAAATTCACAACCTCAGTATCTCGCAAAACGACGTCGATTTCGTTACCATCAATAAGACCGGTGAATGGCTTGCCTTTGGTGCTTCTCAACTCGGTCAGCTTCTGGTATGGGAATGGCAGTCAGAATCATATATCTTGAAGCAGCAAGGTCATTTCGACTCGTTGAACAACCTCACATATTCGCCTTCTGGAGACCGCATCATCACATGTGCTGATGACGGCAAGATCAAGGTTTGGGACGTTGCTTCAGGATTCTGTATCGTCACATTCACCGAACACACATCAGGAGTCACGGCGTGCGAGTTTGCCAAACGAGGAAACGTCTTATTCACAGCTTCTCTGGATGGCTCAATTCGCGCATGGGATTTGATCAGATACCGAAATTTCCGAACATTTACTGCTCCTGAACGTCTATCTTTCTCTTCGATTGCAGTCGATCCGTCAGGCGAAGTCGTGGCTGCTGGTTCTCTTGACAGTTTCGATATCCACATTTGGTCCGTTCAGACTGGCCAGCTGCTGGACAAGCTTTCCGGTCACGAAGGTCCAGTTTCGACATTGGCTTTCGCTCCTAACGGCGGTGCTCTGGTATCAGGCTCTTGGGATCACACTGTTCGCATCTGGTCAATCTTCGCCCGCACACAGACCAGCGAACCTCTTCAACTACAAGCAGATGTTCTCTGCGTCACAGTACGACCAGACTCAAAACAAATCGCAGTCAGCACGTTAGATGGACAATTGACATTCTGGTCCCTGTCGGAAGGAACACAAGAAGCTGGTTTCGATGGCCGCCGTGATGTCTCTGGTGGACGCAAGCTCACTGACCGTCAAACTGCTGCCAATGCCGCAGGCACAAAGTCCTTCAACAGTATCAGCTACTCGGCAGACGGTAGCGTAGTTGTCGCATCAGGCAACAGCAAATACATCTGCCTTTACGATGTCATGTCAGGCGTACTACTACACAAGTACACCGTCAGCGTCAACCTCTCCCTCGAAGGCACACAAGAGTTCCTCAACTCCAAGAACCTGACCGAGGGCGGCCCGGCAGGCATGATCGACACAACAGGCGACGCCTCCGACCTCGAAGACCGCATGGACAACTCCCTCCCCGGCGCCAAACGAGGCGATGCCGCCTCCCGCCGCATCGGCCCTGAAGTCCGCGTCCCAGGCGTGAACTTTGCACCCACTGGCCGCTCCTTCTGCGCTGCCAGCACTGAAGGTCTTCTCGTCTACTCGCTTGACACCACCATCGCCTTTGACCCCTTCGATCTCGACCTCGACATTACACCCCAATCCACCCTCAAGACCCTCGCCGCAAAGCAGTACCTCAAAGCCCTGGTCATGGCTTTCCGCCTCAACAACCCCAAACTCGTGACTAGAGTGCAGCGCTCCGTCCCTGCCGCCGATATTCCCCTGGTAGTCTCGGACTTGCCTTTAGTCTACCTGCCCCGCCTCCTCCGCTTCATCGCCGTCCAAAGCGATGCCTCTCNNCCCCTCCTAGAACTCAATTTGCTGTGGCTGCAATCCATCCTCAAATCCCACGGTAGCACTCTGAAAAAGAATCAAGGCGAATACGCCGAAGTCACTCGCCTAGTCCAACGCGCAGTTGCCCGCATCCAAAAGGAGATTTTCTCGGTGGCCGAAAGCAATGAGTTTATGGTGGAATATTTGCTCGCGCAACCCGTCAAGAAACAGCAGGATGGGATTAAGTTGCTGAGTAGTACAGATGGCGCGGTCCAGGAGGTTGAAATGGCAGATGAAGATGAAGATGAAGATGAAGAGGGCGAGGACGGATGGATTGGTCTCGAAGACTAAGCACCTTGCATCTCTCGTCCACGTTCTTGTAGATACTTTGTCTCGCATAAAATAGGAAGTTGGCGTTGAAGCATGGGATGGTCTTGTTCTATCAGAAAAGGGAGTCTTTGGTTGTTAGGAGTATCGTTTGTTGTATTGCAGGCGTTTTTAAAAAGTAGAAGTATTACGTATGGGCACATGTAGAATCATCGAAAAACACATTTTCAACACTTGAGAATGCGTCATGGCAGTTTCATGTATGGAGCGCGAATTAGAATGAGGCACGACAGAAGAGTAGCAAGAAAAGTGTAGCAGTACGACAAAAAAAGTTATCGGCAGAGTAAAGCCAAACGGAAAATCAAAAGGCAAGAAGCAACACACACACACACACACACACACACAGACCCCCCCAAGGACGACGCAAAGAACAAGTATCCCTACAAAAAAAAAAAGAAAGAACCGAATGCAAAAAAAAAACACCAATGGATTCCCAAAAACAAAACACAATACACAATCCTCCCCCCCTCAAAAAGAAAAATAGAAACAAAGCAATGAATAACCTCCTTCCCCCCACCTCCAAGATACTCATGGCCAAAGAAAAAAAGAAAAAAACACGAGAGAAGAAAAAAAATGCTGGGGTTTCTGGGGGTGATGATAGAGCCTTTTTGTTTTCTCTCTCTCTTCTTATGCTCAAACTTTTCTCTTGTTCTCTTTTGTTTTCTTCTAAGCGTCATTCATGTCGACTTGACCTTTGAGTCGTTGCAATTCTTGCATGGCAGCTGTGACCTCGCCCAAAATCTCCGCCATGGGTTTGGAGGAGAACAACATGCCGGGTTTGAATGGCTGCACCATATGTCTAAGCGCCAATGTGGTAACGCAAGTCNNTGTGTGCACAAGTCAGTGAAATGTTGTAGAAAGGTGGGTAATGTGTTCAAAACTCACCTCAATCCTGCTAATCTGGTGCTCGACAAAATTGATGACGAAGCGGTCGGTTATCTCTCCACCGCGCTGTTTCATGCGTTCGAGCAGTGCAGTCTCTGGCGCCTTGAGTGCTGTCAAGCCAGTGGTTTCGAGACTGCTGCACAACATCTCCAGACGCAGAGATACGTTCCACAGATCCCAGACGTGTTCCGTGTCGATGCTGAGTTGGCTGTCTGCGCTCTTTGTCGCTGCAGCGCCGGTCGACGATTCGATGCCGACGTTACCGCCGTTAGGTGCGGCGGCAGCGGCTGCCTTGACTTGCTCGGCTTGTGCTTGTTGCTGCTGTTGGACCACCAGGCGAGCCGCCAACGAGTGCGGGTACATGAGGTAGATGTATTCGGGATTTTCCAAACCCTTGAGGTTGCGCTGGCCGAGATCCTTGACCTCAAATCCTTGACTGCTGAGTGATCGCAGCTCACGGCGGATGGAATTGCCAATCATCTCATCGCCCATTGCGTCGTCAGAACCTGTGGAACCGCTTCTGTCGGTCTCGATATGAGTTTCGAGTAGACGTTGGATCTCGGCGATGAAATCTGATGATACGGTGATTTGACCACCATCAGCGACGGACTGGATACGTGCAGATCTGTTGACCATGGGTCCAAAGTAGTCCATACGCCCAGTGACGGGATCTTGTTCACACACTGGGCGACCGAAATGGATACCCATACGTACCGACAGACCACGGAAGATACGGTTGCCATCAGTATCGAGCACCTCTTGACCATGAATGCTGTTGAGAATCTCTTGCGGCCACGGGACTTCGAGAAGTTGACTCTGTATGGTGAACGTCCACAAGAGCGCACTGGTGACCGTCTGGAAAGCGACCATGAATGCATCACCTTCAGTCTTGACCTCATAACCACCGATGATGCGCAAATGCCTTCTCATGAGTTCGTTGTGCAATTTTATCGCACTTCTCATGGCAATGGGATAAGATTCCCATAGCATTGTGCTGTTCTTGATATCGGTGAAGACCAAGGTGACTTCGCCCTGAGGAGGATCGATCTCTTGGTCCAAACGGGCGAGCTTGGAGTCTCCGACATTGTCTCTGCCACGCTTGGGACGTCTTGAGATGGTCAGAAGCTCGTCGGGGGCGCCGCTCGGGCCCATACTCATGCTGTGAGTCCTGAAACGAGCGCGTTCTCTCTTGCGTAGATCGCTCACGCCGAGCATCATGACCATGATTTTACCTGTGGCACCAAAGGCGATGGCAAGATCACGCAGCTTTTGTGCAGCACGCATCAAATCACCACGTTCTGAGCGAGCGACATCTACTGCAAAGTCCATGGTCAGGTAGTCCCATAATTCACGAGAAGCAATGACGATGATCTCGTCAGACTCCTTGAGAGATATGCGAGCTGTATGGGGGCAGGCAATGACACCAGGGAGATGTGGCACAAAGCCAAACGCCCTAGAAACTTCAAGAGCATCGTTGAGCTTTCCTTGACGTGAGACGTAGCCACCAGCCTCTCGAATGCGAATTCGCTCATCTGCTTCTGCAGGCGCGTGCTTGCGGGTGATGATTCGATGACCACCCTCCGAGTCGATCAACAAGGCCTGAGCATCGCCAACATTAGAAACGTACAGGTCCATACCTTGGAGGTACATGATTGTAGCCACGGCACCTGAAGTCATGTCGTCTTCGCCTAGCTCGAGACCCGTAATGCTTCCTCTGTGGATTATTGAAGCACTTGGGTGAGCACGGGATTCAATAGCTTGAGTAGCCGCTGTGGCAAAGTCCTTGTTGAGCGAGAGATATGCTCTCCTTAGCGCGTCCAAGGGTGAATCGTCACTGTCCTCCTGGAGTTTTGCGAGCTCATCTGCAAAGTGATGTCTGAACTTTTCGTAGCAGAATTTGGCCACCTTGCTGCCTCCGGTGGTCAAAGTCTGTCCGTCAAACATACCAAAGAGTAATCGGTCTTCGTTGCCACCAAAACTGGGAATGACCATGTCCAATGTTGACAAGTGCTCGTGACGTCCCAGCGTGTCTGCCATACCGTAGGGGNNAATGTGCGTACCGATGATGGATCCTGCAGTACGCACACGTCTGTCAGGGCCTTGATCGGGTACAGAAGGGATTGTTAGGGTAACATCCATGAGACCGAGGATCCTCAGATGTTGCAGAGTAGAGAAGTCGGTCAAGTCTCGCGTCTCGCGTCCCGGCACCACGTTGACGTTAGGCTTGATCTCCAGACGTTTGTTGCCGGACATGTTGAGATATCTCAATTGATGGTTCCAATTCCAGTTCCAATCATAGGGCCAATTGGAGACGTTGTATTTCAGTGCATTGCTGCCGACGTCCAAAGTCTGAAGCTTCTGAATCTTGCCAAGTTCTGCAGGCAAGACGTTGAATCTGTTACTGTTCAAATGCAGCACTCGTAGAGCGGATGCCTCTTCGAAATCTTCTGCTGGTAGCGCAGACAAATCATTTCCAGAAAGATAAAGTTCGGTCAGATGTGGCCATCTTCTGATGGTTCGTGGTGGAATGTCATATAGCTCGTTGTAAGAAAGGTTCAGGATTCGAAGCTCTGGGAGGAGGACAAGTTCGTCGAACACATCGTCAGACAGGCGATTGTCGGCCAGAATCAGGTGGCGCAAAGTAGAAGAAAAGGTAGAAGCAAGCCTGTTGGACATGGTCGAGTCCTTACGATTTCCTGGTGTGGCAGCAGCACTGCTAAGTCCAGATTCTGTCGATCCTCTGGGAGCTAAGGATGGATGTCTTGATTGGGAACCATAGTTTGAAATGACCGAGCCTTTACGGTTAGCTGGTGACCCACCCGGTATCATGCCGTGGCCAACCTGGCTAGGCCTTCTCAACTGGAACGCCTCGAGTTTACCAAGTTCATCGAAATCAGGAGTTTGGGGGCCACCGCTGGATGTGATAGGAGGAGGTGCCTCAGATGGTAGCGATGGCGGAGGGGCACCCGGCTTGGGAAACTCATTCAGAACGTTGGAGGCGATGTTGAGCGACTCTAGCTTACGAGCGTACCAAAGCTCTTGCGGCAGTCTGCTGAGGTTGTTCTCCCGGATATCAAGATACTTCAAGTCCTGCAATCTGCCAATGTCTGAAGGCAGGTTGTTCAGCATATTCTTGGCCACACTGAGATGTTCCAATCTGGTCAGTTTTCCAATCAGAGGTGAAAGGGCTGTGAAGTGATTCTTGTCCAGTACCAGCTTCGATATGTTCGAGATCTTCGCGAACAAGTCATCGGGCAGTTGCGTCAGCTTGGCAGAAGCAAGATTCAGCACTGAGAGGGTAGGAACAGGGGTAGTGAGGCCGAAACGGGTGACGGGATTGTGATCAAGGGAGAGGACCTTTATGCGGTGGAAGGAAGCTTCGTATGCGGCGATTGAGTTGTGCCCAACAAGAAGATGCTCTAATTGAGGTAGCTCAGCCATGACATCGATGTTGTCCAGCGCGTTGAAACGGATGTCAATTTGAGTAAGTTTGACGAGTTGTTTGAAAGTCTCGGGGAATGCGCCAGACAGCTTGTTGTTTGTAGCGAACAAGCGTTCCAGGTTGACAAGCTTGCCGACCTTTGGCAGCGAGGAAATACCATTGAAACTAATGTCCAGGTCCACAACAGTCCTAAGCTCACAGAGGAAGTCGGGGAAAGTATCGAGATTGTTAGATGCCAAGTTCAAGCTGCGAAGAGCTTGGTAGCATCCAAAGTAAGCGGGCAGACTAGTCAGCTTGTTATTGGACAATTTGAGGCTGACAAGGTTGTGCAACTTGTGTAGATCTGCATGCTGCATCTGTTCAAGTCTGTTGTTCGAGACATCAAGCATAGTCAATCTTGATGCCAGGCAGATACTTGCAGGCAACTTCCACGCTTCGTTACTTGTGTATTTGATTTCTCGAAGGTTGCTGCAACTCTGGATGAAGTCTTTCGGTATATCAAGAGACAAGTTCCTGGACAGGTTCAAGGTAATGATCTCTGTGGCCTTTTGGTATAGCGCGATGGGGATAGTAACCAAATCGCGACCCGCGAGATCGATGTGATTGAACTTTTGCATGCCCTTAAAACCAGGATCGCGTTCCAAGCTTGAGTATCCGCTCAGCTTTCCAGGCAAAAACGTGAAACGCACCAGATATCCATGATCTTCGCGCCCCAAGTCTTCTGGTCTGTCTTTGTCGTTGTAGCCGGCCATTTCCAGCATGTGTTTCTGGATCGCCAATGGCCGTTCACCACCAGCGAGTATACGACTTGAGCCAGTTTTCCGCATGACGATTTGATATGTGTCGAGCTCGTCTTGCAGAAAAGTCTTCTTGGCCATCATTTGAATGAGCTCGCTCGCGGTAGTGTTTAGGCCAGCTGAGATGACGGCAAACGTACTGTCTGCTCTGAAAATTCGCATAAAGTACATAGAACCCGGATCCTCGTCTCTAGGGACTTGACCTTCGTCGTCAACTTCGCGTAGTGCAGCGACATTCGAATCAGGCACTCTTTTGACTGCCCAACTGTCAGGCACCTCCCAGGTTCCAGTTTCTTCTTCGGCGGGTTTTGTGGTGGATTCCATTCCAGGGAAGCCGGTAAAGATGTCGGTAGTAACGGGCGGGGTCATTGGTTGACTGCGGTTAACGATGCCTTCCATCTGGCTCATATCAGTGTCGAGATGCCACAATGCGGATGCGTTGCGAACAGCCTCGGGCCTTGGAGCATTCGGATCTTTTTGNTTGAACTCGGCACTTGGCTCTGCGCGCCTTGGTCCCTTGAACGGAATTCTCGTGTGCTCTTTCTTTGCCAGGCCTAATGCCATTGGCTTGCCATCCGGTCCAATGGGTCCCTTCTTCTTTCCAGCTGGCGCAGTTGGGGTCTGAGAGAGCGAGCCAGTCGAAGCAGGTAAGCTCTTCAAGGTCGACTCGGCGGTCTTGTCGTGCTTCTTACGACCAGTGACTCGATCAAACAGAGAGCGTTTGGCGCTGTGGGCTCCCGGGGAGCGTTGGCCTTGAGCGTCGCTAGATATGCTTTGTTGGGCGCTAGTCATACTCCTCATACTAGGTGAAGGACTTGTCGCGCGTTGGCGTCCATTGAGATTTGTGGGCAGGGTTGAGTCCTTGCGGATGGTGCTCATAGTGCCGGTAGTACCGGTGGTGCCAACGGTGCCGATAGTGCCAGCGCGGCTACTCATAACGGAGGCGCTATCATCGATGTCCTCAAGGCTGGTCTTGTGTCGGTGGCCAGGAAGGTGAAGGCGGTGGTGACGGCTTGAGATGGATCCCTTGTCCTTCCGCGTCTGTTGTTGTTGCTGCAGGGGAGGTGCGGTCGACGGTTGCGATGGCTGCGTATGGAANCTTTGAGATGTCAATCACACGAACATGGCATGTCACGGAACAAAGACAAAACTCACGTTTGCTGGAGCTGGCTCGAAATCCCATGGCGTCACTTCACTACTGGTATTCGGAGTACGTGGACGCGATGCCGACGGACTCCCAGGACGAGTGGTCTGAGTGACTTGTGTGGCGTTGGATGGGTTGCGCCCTCTCTTGTCTGACTGCTCGGGTAGATCCTTGGGCGGCGGCGCGTTCGGGTCAAAGTCGTCTCCAAAGAAGCCTTGCAACTTCTTGTGGAACTTGCCAGTTATGCTGCGCTTGGACGATCCGGTCGAGGACATTGTCGTCGTACTAGCCACGGACGGTCTTCGGTCGTCGCCATTCCATCCCAGCGACAAGTTGTTGCCATTCTGCGGGACGAAGCCCGGCGACATCTGAGGAAGGTCATCGCTGGACGAGTTGTAGAAAGAGTTGTTGAAGAAGTTCGACGAGAGATGTGAAGGACGGTTGTTGCGACCATAAGGCGGCGGTGTGAAGTCGTTGGGTTGCTGGCGCGAGATGGATGGCACGGAGCCGGTGGATTCGAGACACGACAGTTCCTTGCGATGGTCACTAAAGTCAGGCGTATCCCAGGCCAGTGCGGCACCAGCACCGCGATGGTATGGAGGATTGACGATGGTGCTAGGTGATACGTCTAGATCGGGTTCTCTNATCAAAGGTTGCGTCAGCTCGTGGGCTTTCAGGCTGGAGCAGACGGACTCGACATACCGAGCCAGTCGCTCGGGCTTTGACTTTTTGGGCGTGGTTTCGGCCATTGTAGCTGTCACTCTATTTCCTGGACACGCGGCACGGATTACAAAGGGCAAGTCTGGTGAGCTCGAGGCTTCATGCCATCAGAGGGCACTGGATGTTCCCTGGCCGGTCCTGTCCTCGGACTCGGACTCGGACTCGGACTTGGACTCGACGGTTGGCGTCAGTTCGAATGCTTGGGCGATGGGCGAGAGACGAGCTCTGCGGAGTGGACGGGCGCGAAGCAGCAAAGGGTCGGCACGAGGTCGGGGCGTGCCGGGAAGGGTGTTGGCTCGTCGCTTTCACAGGTGGTGGGCAGCTCTTGGGCATGGGCGAGATGTCAATTGCGTCACGGGGGACATGGCCGGGTGCGGCTGTCTTTTGGCGAGGTCGAGGGTTGCGCGAGCGAGACTAGGAGGGAGAAGGATTGCCTGGCTGCGAGTGCATGGTCGATGATGGGATGTATCGACGGCTGCTAACAACGAAGGCGCAACTGCTCCATCGTCTAAGGCGGGGCGATCCAAGTTCCAGCCAAAGGCTCGGCTCGAAAAGGAATTCCCGTCACACCCGTGTTGGTTGATGCACGAACGGACCCTCGTCCTCTCGCTACTATCTGATCACTCATCACACGAACTGCTCAGGTCAGGCCAGCCCAGCAGCTGCTTCTCTTGACATCGACATCAAGTACACTGTGCCGCCCATCTTTTGTCTACAAGCCAAGTTATGCTCTGACCCTGCAATCTGGCTCGCGGGTCTCTCCTGCAACGGTCTCATGGCCTTGGATGCCTTTGGAATGAACACTTGCATTGCACGTTAAGCCATCTCGGTCTTTACCTGCAAACTACCTGTCCGAAAACCCTCCCCTTTCGCTCCTCAAATCTCGCACAGCAGCCTTGCTGCAACCGTCGTCTCTTTATACTGAACATGGAACACTATCACACCCACCATTGACGAAAAAGCAAACTTATCAAACCGTTCATGTCTTTACGAATTCATTTATCCGGTAGTGTCGTTGATCGTCGAGGATAAATACAGCACCATCTCTCTCCGCTCCACTCGATCCGAGTGGACAACACTAGAATAGTGTATAGGTAAATGTCTCGAAACTGCCATAACCATAAAAACAACATCCGAACGCCACAGAAGCCCTTGAACCAAAACGGTCATATACAATATGGACATGTCCACCACTTCCTCCTCTGTCCTCTGTTGAAGTAAAAGATCGTACAGTTCGTCATGTTCATCAGTTGGCAAAGCCCTGGATGGGCGTTGATGCGTTTGTTGCACCATTCGACATTGACCGTCTCTGGCCGTCCCTACCAGTCCAACCCGGGAACAAAGTCCTCAGTTTGCCATACTTGGACTCCAGCTGGGGCATGTTCGGAGGTGCCGTAACATAAGATGGAGGGTGCGGCACGGCTCCAGATTTTGACTGGCCATCTGTCTGACTACAGAGATAACCCAGATTCGAATGTACTCTGAGGTTGATNCCTGCAAGTCACGCACATCAGTATGAATGGCTGAAGATTGACTGCAGCTAGCCTTACTGGGTGTACTCGTCGGACGCAAGGGCATCCGGCAGGCCCTCTTTCTTGAGGTGGGCGGCTGCCTGCGGGCTGGTTGCGCCGCCCTTGCCCTGCGCCTGCAGCCTGTGCATTTCCTGTAGCAATTCAAGATTGATTTCCAACAGCAGCGATATCCTTTCCTTCTCTTGCAACGGGTTCACTGGCGATGCGCCATGAGATGGAGAGTGGATTGGTCGAGATTGCGGGGCAGCCATGGGCGATTGCTGAGGCGAGCCCTGTGCGACTGCAGAAGCAGCATATGGTGGAACACGATGCGAAGGAGAGGCTGCCATGGGCATTACGGCCGAGGGCGACGTGGACTGCGAGTAGGGCGGCGCGTAGGCTGAACAAGGCCAAGCACGTCAGCACCTGCACAACCACACTGTCGTCTAACAAGCAAGAAGCGACTTACCGCCAGACAGCTGCTGGTATTGCTGCCGCTGCTGCGGGACATTGTGAGCAAAACTAGGCGCTGGTTGGGCCTGGAGAGGGAAGGGTGGTTGCTGGAGAGGGAGCGACTGGTTGGTCGTGTATGGTGAGAAGGACTGGCCAAACGCGGCCGTGTCCATCGAGGATAACGACATATCAACCCTCGGTATTCGGCTTACGATCCACTAACAGACGTCAACAATACTTTGGAGCTGAAGCCACGAGGCGCTAGTTGGGTTTGATGAACTCGAATCGAGAAAGCCTCAACCAGACGAAGACGAACCACTCACTTTGATTTGTGGGGCAGCAACGACCTTCTCACCGCAGCCGTGTTTTTTGCTTTCTCATCTCACCAATCTCCTCTCTCCATTCTCCTGCAACGCTTGATAAGGACATCACCGTCTGACCATCCCGCCAGCTAATTTGCTGCATCATGTCCGGTAACGTACCTCTCTTCTCATGCACGATCGCGTCCACGGTTGCGCAATATCCCTTTCAAGTAGATTCCCATCCGCTGCAAGGTTCCGACGAGGGTCCAGGCTCCAACAGCTCGGCTTCCACTATCCAACGCATGTTTAGTTATTCAACCTGCATTGCACAAGTCAGTCTTGCTCCAACAGCATCCACTGATACGTTTGTATCTCAGGAAGAGGAAGAGGTGCATACTTCAAGGCCAAATATGCCAGTGGAGGGGGCCGTGGAGGTCATGATGCTAGAGATCAACCTCAACCGTTTGTTGCACAATCATCCACCTCTGCAAGCACATCTCCGTGGGCACAGTTATCGCAAGCCCTAGACTCAATTGATGGACAGCAGTATGGTAAGTCGTCTGAACCTTTCTTTTCTGTTTGCGCTTTCGCCTGACCGAATTCAGGCTCGTATAAACGTCTGCAGAATGCTCGTTTTCAACACAGCTCGCCCGACTTCACGCTATCCATAAATCACGTCCAAGCAGATGCATATGCGTCGCCTTCAAGGATTAGCGTTTCCATGGACTGGGTAAGTTTACGCTCCTACTCAATGCTTGACTGTGACGTCGAGTTTATTCCAGTCGCTCTAAAAGGAAATCGGCGTCGTCTAATAGAATCAGNNAAAACTACGGGCTTCCCAATCGACTTCGCAGCTTCCGACATCCGCCAGATCGCTCTGGCCGATTATGTCTCCAGAGCTGCTGCAGCCTTTATCCGTAATAAACACATGGATCAGTCTGTGGGTTCTGGAAACTCTGGCTGGTCAGGCCCTAAAGGTGGAGCTTTCACAATCAACGCTCCAGCTCAGCAAGTTTTGCCTCGTACCAGTGCTCTCATCGTGCCCGGCAAGAATCAGAGCCTTGAGATGCGGTTCACAGTCTCCCTACCTGCTCGTGGCCGCACCATTCTCGGCAGGGAAGCTAAGGCAATCTTGTGCGTCAACCTTCCGGAACTTATCAAGACGACAATGCTCTACACGTCGCACGCAGCTGAGGAGCTCAAAACTCATATCCACTGCGTGGAAGATCAAGCGTACATGCGCTCTCAACTTGAAGCCAAGGGATTGGTTGCTTTCGTTGGAAACGGGTCAATTCTCCCAAGAGCTAGCGGAGCCTCTGCCCGCAGTATGACTGGTAAGCACGTTGTGCCCTTTCAGTCGCCACCTGAACTCGAATTTGTCTTGAAGCGTGAGCATGGCCACAAAGTACGTGGCATGGGCATTCCCAAAGGAGTCACTCTGCTCACTGGCGGTGGCTATCACGGCAAGTCGACTCTTTTAGAGGCTCTCCAGTTTGGCATCTACAACTATGTTCCGGGGGATGGTCGAGAATTAGTCGTCACCAACCCTGCTGCGGTGAAAGTCCGTGCTGAAGATGGTCGCAGTGTTACAGGAACAAATATTAGCGCTTTCATCAAAAACTTGCCAGCACAAAGAGACACAGATGTTTTCACCACTGACGACGCCAGCGGCTCAACGTCAATGGCAGCTAACATCTCAGAAGCTCTCGAGCTGGGAGCACAAGTCATCATAGTAGATGAAGACACTTCTGCCACAAATCTCCTCGTCAGAGATGAGCGCATGCAAATGCTGATCAAGAATGAGCCGATCACTGCGCTCGTCTCGAAAGTGCGCGCTCTGTATGACCAGCACGGTGTCAGCACAATCATCGTGGTTGGAGGACTTGGTGACTGGCTGGATGTTGCACACCATATCATCGGAATGGACTCGTATATTCCTCGGGATTTAACCAGAGAAGCACGAGATCTTGTCGAGAGAATGCCCAGAAAAGTTATGCAAGACAAGATTTACGGCACACTATCCGATAGAAGTTTCGGATTTCCAGCAGCGATTCTTCATGACAAGACTCCATATGCCAAGAGGAAAGACTTCATTACCATCTATGCCGACCGAGCATTGCAAGACCCGTCCCAAACCGAATCGGGAATCGACATCTCCGGTGTCGAGCAAGTGGTGGAAGTGGGTCAGACACGAACTATTGCTCACTCCATCCGTGCACTTGCTCTCGCGGAGGATTCTGNNGAGGGTGAGTAGTATTACATTGCGGTCAAAAATGTTGGTTAACGTGGAGGCAGTGTCCATCTATACTCAGCCTTGGCAGGCATCGAGGCTGAAATCGCCTTGGAGAAAGTCATTCCAGAGAAGCTGCCAGGAGGTGATCTTGTGGCAGTTCGTCGTTTCGAGCTAGGCGCAGCTGTCAATCGCATTCGAGGTTTGAAGTCACGAGCGGCAAAGGAAGAGGCTCAGACGGGAGAAGGACCAAAGAAGAAGGCACGCATTGACATTTGAACGGTTGGTATGAAGGCTTAGATGTGCTTGTTGGTGGTAGAAGAACCAACCCCTCTCCACGGAAATAATTGACGAGGTCAATTGAGTTTGAGTCAGGGTGGGCGCCTGATCCTGGAGGATCAACCTTCTCCGCAGCAAGAGGAAGAAAGAGCTGCACACCAAACATAGCTACACGATCAACATCGGGTGAACACATCTTTACTGAATGATACCAAGCATTGTTCATGCTCTTTCGGAAATACCCAAGTCGCTAGAGGATAAGTCGGCACAGGACAATGATCCTTCGACCACACCTGTGCCAAGGCTTCTCTGCATAGAACATGGAATGGAAGAAGCATATGACAGGGCATTGCATGCCATTGTCAAGTGATCACAAGAAACTGACGTATTTTCGTTGTAGGATTCGTGCGCTCAGATCGCGATGCAGTATATGTTATTGAGTCAAGGGTCTTGGTTGCACGCCGAGATGGCCCGATTTTGCCGGCGGATTGTCTTGTCGATAGACAGCTCTTTCGTACGAGTGCTTGGAATTTGAGCTTCGAGTGAGTATACCGTACATTTTCACTAATCGAGTCGCACGAGAAAAGAGGAGACGGAACAATCTTTCGAGATTACTGCGCCGCCTCTGCCGCTAGGAAAGCTTTGCGCTGTTTGAGATGATTGGTGAACGGATAGAGATGGGCAACATTCTTCGAGATGCAGACGTCTTGGTTGCTTAGCACTCGGCAATCTCGGCATACGACACAGCCCGAAACTATGTCAGAAGGGGAAGCTACTAGGCTCTAAGAGGTCAAGACCTTTGCGGGGAGGTGTTCCTTCGAGGCTTTGTTTGGTTCACGAGTTGTCTATGATCATCACCAAGGGACCAAAAGGTGGCGTGGGTCGAAACGATTGTTGCTGGTGTGCCTGCCTGCCTTGTCAGGAAGTAGGCGATGTGACACATATAAGAGGAGCTCTGGTCGCATCTTCTGCAGTAGCTCCACCATTCAAATCATATCATTCACAGCTACAAGCTTGTTTCTCGGTCAATCATCACATTCCACCAAAGACAGCAATAATCCACATTATTTCGCCTGCTTTCGCAATCGCAACCAACAACTTAGCACCTTCACAATGAACAACGACGAGCACATCCGCCACCAGAACTCGGATCTGGGCAAGTCGCCTATCCGTGGTAGCAACAGCGATCACGACCCTCTCGTCAAGGTTCAGCCTCCTCGCCGTGAGGATCTCCAGCCTTCTTACGCTTCTGTCATCAAGCCCGACACCGAAGATGATTCTCAGCACGGCTGGTATGGTGGCATGATCAATGCCCTTGGTTCCGTACTTGGTAACCTCGGAGCGATTCCTTGTTGCGTCGTTTGCCCCAACCCGTACAAGCCCGTCTCACAGGGTAATGTCGGTTTGGTCACCAAGTTTGGTCGTTTCGCTCGTGCTGTCGACCCTGGTCTCGTCAAAATCAACCCTCTTTCCGAGCAATTGATCCAGATCGATGTCAAGATTCAGATTGTTGGTAAGTCGCGCTGCTGTTCTCACCATGAAATTCTGAACAACTGCTGACACATGCGCANNGAGGTTCCTCAGCAAATCTGTATGACCAAGGACAATGTTAACCTCCACCTCACCTCGGTTCTCTACTACCGCGTCACCTCACCTCACAAGGCCGCGTTCGGCATTTCCAACATTCGCCAGGCGCTCATCGAGCGTACTCAGACCACACTTCGCCACGTCATTGGTGCTCGTGTCCTCCAAGACGTGATCGAGCGCCGTGAGGAGATTGCCCAGAGCATCCGCGAGATTATCGAGGACACCGCTTCCGGCTGGGGTGTCGAAGTCGAGTCCATGCTCATCAAGGACATCATCTTCAGCCAAGACCTGCAAGAATCGCTATCCATGGCCGCCCAGAGCAAGCGTACCGGAGAGGCCAAGGTCATTGCCGCCAGAGCTGAAGTCGAGTCTGCCAAGCTCATGCGCCAGGCCGCTGATATCCTGTCCTCCGCTCCAGCCATGCAGATCAGATACCTCGATGCCATGCAACAGATGGCCAAGTCTGCAAACTCCAAGGTCATCTTCTTGCCTGCGCCCAACCAGACTGTCCAGCACCAGATGCAGATGGCCGACGCTGTTGGCGAAGGTCCCTCTTCATACCAGTCTTACGGACAGCCCGCCAACAACGATTTTGGCGCCGGCACTGAGGGCTTCCAGAATGCCATCAACAGCCGTGTTGTCGAGAACATGTAGAGACAGCTTCTTGGCCGCAGAGTGCCGATACGATGCTTTTGATTGAGATGTTTTGCTTTATGGATACCCCCTTTATGTTTTTAACCATACCAATGCTGTCGCTTCTCTTTGCCAGGGCTAGTGGTCTAGCTCTTTTCTGTATCAGATTTCACGATCCACCAATGTTTTTGAAATCCATTCCCTTTTGTCGTCGTGCTACTGACTGCAATGTTCCTCCCACTGAACCTTCCAGAGGGAGTGAGAATCATGACTGCCTATTCGGTGGATAACGTTGTCTTGACATCCTGACAACACTTGTACAATTGACGGCAAATTGCGACATGTCCACCGTTTGATCATTGACTCAAAACGTCTGGCATCTTTGCGCTCTTTCAAATGACAAACCTTTATTCCTAAAGTAAATCCCCGAGTGAGGCGTGTTAAAACATTTGTGAGCCATCGATAATAGCGACGAATCTCTAGTCATCATATCTCGGAAGAAGGTCCGAATGTCAGGGTTATACTTGCAACCACTTGATCTGGGAATGTCAGTAGCTTGATTGATTTGTAGTCGCCTAGGATGGAGATGGAGGTTTTTTCTGGATTGGTACTGGGAGATGGAATGACGGTTTTGAGATGTGTACTAGGGGAACTTTGGAGTATGAGAGGTAAGGTGTCATTGGTAAGACGAGGTTTTGCGGTTTTGTGGATGTGTGGTTTGGCTAATGGACTCGGTCTGTTTATGTTCACGAGTAACCTTTTGTGTGTGAAAAGATTCCCTCATACACATTCGATGTGGTCTTGTGAGCTGTATCGAAAGCAGGTTCACGGTATAGATCAAGACTGCTGTAGGTAAAGGGTGTACATAGCTGGGTCTGAAGGCCAATGTATTACGTGTGTAGAAGGCAACAAGCTACATGTTTGCAACAGCATAGTTAAGCCATGCTGTCTGGTTCCATGGAACCTGAGTGATTGTTGCCAATGCGATTCCGTGCTCGAAGGCAACATTACCATTACCATTTTCCCCATCAAAAACCATCCCACGAAGACAAGGTTATGCAAAGCATTACTGATGGAAGTAAGCCCTTTACTGATCGAAAAGATACATTGTATAATTAAAATTAAGAAGCATCTTATATGCGCCATCAGAGAAACAGCAAAAAGTATCACAGAAACAACAACTGATATCATCAACATCCACAAACCATCCATCCACATATCCCCCCCCCCCCCAAAAAAAGAACCTCACCATCAGAGTCCAATTGCACCACGCACAATCATGCAAAAACCTCACTTGCATCTTCCGGCACACCTCAAGAAGCACTTCTTTGCCGTTCAGCAGTCCAACTCATTCACGGACTCGTATAAAACCCCTGTTGATCGTACAAACTCCTCACACTCTTTGGCGTCTCCATCGCTTTACTCTTTCTCTTGTCCCAGGTCTGTGTTTCCTGGTCTTCATGTAAGATTGGTAGGTTTCCTTTGCTTGAGTCTGTTTGCGTCAGAGACTCTGTGTTTTTGTGGTGGGTTGGGTGTGGGAATGTCAATGTCGCGTCGTCTTTTTGTTCCCAGCCTAGAAGTTTGTTCAATGCGAGAGTGGGTGTCTCGATGGGACTGGCTGTGCTTGCGTTCTCTTGTATTTCTTGCCAGTATCTCTCTCCATTTTCCCAGACACTGAGACGTGTGCCTCGAGTTTGAGGAACAGTGGTCAATAGACTCAAAGTAGGCTTTGTGGGTGAGTAAGTGAGTACATGACACTCCCTACTCTCACTCTCCTCTTGCTCCTCAGAAAGCAGAATATCTTTTGGAGGTGAATCATCGTCTTCGGTATCAGACGAGAACCCAAAGTCAAAGGGAAGTTGCACGGAAGCTTCGCGACCTAGATGCAGATAGCGATGTAATCCTTTTCCCATCTCGTCTTCGGAAACTTGAAGTGAAGAATTCATGCGGCGTAGTGCCATGATGCTTTTGCGAATGTCTTTCGGTGGTTGGGCGCGGGGACCTGTGACGCGTTTGCTGCGTGACGAGGAAGGCTTATCGATGCCGCCGCTGCGGCGGTGTGGGGATGAACTAGTGCTGCGGCGATGGGGGCTTGTGCTGCTGCGACGGTGGGCACTGCTGTTATGAATCGAGAGCTTTGGGCTGGTCAGGGTGTCGCTATCATTGCTGATAGCACGACACAGCGGTGGTGGCGTCTTACAAATGCTGGAGTTTGGTGATGGCGGTGGGGAAGGTAGGCTTGGGCCTAGATCTTCTTCCATGAATGAGGCATGGGGCCGGAGGATAGGCATGGATTCGAAAGGTGAACGGATGCGTTGAGTGAGAGAGGCTGCGCGGGCATAGGGTGATTCGATCTCCTTCTCGCTGTATGGTGATCTCCTGCCTCTGTTCTCTTTTTCATCATCATAGTCAGCTAGGAATGATGGCGGCGAGGAACAAGTCGGTGGGACAGGCTCGTCCTTGAGTGCGAACGGAAAGTTGGGCGAGCTGCTGTCTTCTTCGTCAGAAGAATAGATCGAGATTGGTCTGCTCGGATCATACTCTTGTCCGCTGGCAGGAGGATTGGTAATCGGCATTGGCCAAGAAGGGTCGTACTTATTTGACCATGATGGTAGTGGCGGCGATTCTTCAGGCTTGTAGACCGAACGTTTCGAGTTACTCGGTGTAACATGGAGTCCAAATGGAGGACTGCGCTCATGCTCCGACCATTCAGTCGATGGACGTGTGAATTCGATTGCAGGCGTTTCTGATCCTTGCTGCACCTCATCAACTTTATCGACATGGTTCATATCTGGAAGACTGGGTATGCTGAAGAGCGATGCCTCTCGCGACAATGCAGACTTTGCACCTGGCGACACATAAGATGCACGTCTAGAGTTCACCTCACTGTGCCAGGGCAACGGCTCATTCTGATATGCTACCATGGAAAGAGTCGGAGAGCTAGGTGTGAGCGATGCTCGCAACCTCAAAGGGTCCATGGCGGTCCGTGGTCGCAATGTTACATCACCATTCAAATGTTGGTCGGCCAGTGGCCCAATCGTGCGATCCGGCGATTCTTCTTGGATTCCATCTATTGAAGGACTAGTCGATCTGCTCCGGGCCCCTGGTCCCAGAACAGTGGGTGCGAGTGTCGACAAGCGAACACAGTTTTGTCTGCGATGGCCTTTTCTCGCACCAGGACTGCCTTTCAAGATTGAATGCCTGGGTCTTATCACTGACTTTTCCCACTTGGACATAACCTCAACACTCGAGTCTTTCAATGCACTTTTCATTGGTCTTTGCGGAGAAACAGTGTTGCCCGAGACAGCTCGTAGGACATTTGGTTTGGGCTTCTCTGATGGCGATCCAGTTGCCGAGACTCTGGACGACCCGGTATGCCGTCTTGGGGTGCTCACCATGGTGACACCGCCCTTGAGCGAGTCTGATGATGATACACGACTGATACTGATTCGATCGACATTCAGAATCTGCGGTATCGAGAGCCTGTTCGACTGCTTCTCCAAAGTAGACGCAATACTAGAGACGGAGTTACGATTGCTGCTATTCGAGATGATACTCAGACACACAAGACTTCTTCTGTGTCCGATGTAGTTTCCCGGTCGAGAGTTGCTGCCATAAGATGAAGCTTCAGCTCTTGCTCCTGCCGCAGCATCGTCTGGTATCGAGGGTCTTTGGACGTTCTTGAACTCTGGTATCGCATTGATGTTTTCGGAACTCACAATCCGTTCCCAGTTGCGCTCAGGACTGCTGTTCAAGCTGGTTGATGTACTTTCACTATGCTTTGCTGAAGGTATACCGAGAGCACTGTGACGGTTTGCCGGGTTATAGTCACTGTGGCGACTGATGTTCCTTGGTAAAGGCGGGAGGGGAGGCAATGGTCCTGTTGGTGCCGGTCCAGGAGCAGACGCGAATGTGTCTGTCGAATTTGGCTTGTTCGGATCAGAGACGGTCCCTAATGACTTTGATCGAGCTGCTCGGGGTCGGCATGATGGCTCTCTTGAGAGCGGCTTTGGTGGTGGCACATCAGTGAGCCGAATTGGCCGCGAGGAAGAACGAGGAGGTATTTGTGGCGAGTCTGTGCTGACGACCTCTGGCTTTGCAATTAACTGCTCCACAGAAGCGGATTGTATTTCCTGTTCCCTGACAGCACCGCCTTTGGTAGCAGCCGGTGAGTTTCTGGATCCTGCTACGGGCGTACCTCCTCTTGGGCTCTCAATGATGGCCGAAAGCGCTTGCAGTCTTCTAGCATTGGATGGAAGACGTCCTATCCTTGGTCTTCGTCCAGGGAAATTCCATCCTGTCCGTGTCTGCTCTTCTGGAAAGATGAAGGCTGGATGAAGGCGATTGTTGACCTGCGCGAACGGGTGTAAATTGTTGATGGTCTCTGTTGATGCCAGTGCTCCCCATCCTCCACACGGCACATATGTCGGTATGAATGGTAGTTGGCACGCGCCGGGTCCTTGATGTACCTGAGCGACTTCCACAGGTCGTGCAGGAGGGAAGCCTTGTTCGATCTCGGCGATCTCGCGATTGTGTTCGCGTTTGCGCTTGTATATCTGGTAGACAATAAAGCAGGCTGCGCAGAGAAAGAGCGCGCTGATACCTGCGCCAATGCCGACGACTGCGGATGACATGGCTGGTGATACGTTTTCGAGATATACTCCAGTCTAGTGTATACAGTATCGTCCTGTGCTTGAATTTTCGAAGATCCTGGTCTCATGTTCAACTCATGTCGGTTCGTGATGTTCTTCGCCTCGCTGCCCATGAATCGATCATGGCATAGTTGGCACCCTTGGGCTGGTGAGATTGTTCCATAACAGCGTCGATCTGAGGTATGGAAAGGTTGCCACAACAAGATCCCAGGAATGTTGCTCACTACCACAGAATCACACATCTTTTTGGCCAATCTTGTCGGTCTCAATCTTGCCTACCCTGCTGTGCAGAGATGGTAACTGAAATCATCTCTCAAACGTATCATGATTGCAAAGACATATCGCAGCATTACCGTAAGTCCAGTCACGTACAAGTTCATCGTAGCAGACGCGAGTAGAGCATTGTCTCTGATAAACATTCCACAGGGACATGTCAACCCCTTCAGGCCACGAGGGGCAGAGACGGCTATACAGATCATCGCTCTTTGCGACTTCGACACATTAGTTCAGCGATGATGATTTGAGTTGAGGATACCAGCTGTTCCCAGCTGCGAGCAAGATGGTTGATGGCGCTACGCGTGCAATCGCAGAAAGTCGCGGCTCCAGCAAAATTAGCCTTGCATTCAGCCGGGCCCGACGATGACCCTGGACCCTGACTTGCCTCGGCCCCGGGCGACATTGACCCGGCAGAATAAACAAACCAACACCACCAAAACATCCAGCGAACGACGCAAACCAGATCCAAATCAAGACGAAACGAACACCCGGCTAAAGCAGAATTCGATATGGACCAAGGGAAGACCATGGCGAATCGGAACAATTGACCAAAGGCACCACTCGTGCCCCGCCCCCACCTTGATATTGCAAGCCGGGGAATATCGTCGACAGCAATATCTGGGGCATTTCTACCAGCAAACAAAAAGGATGAAGTAAGGCTCATTAGACTTTTCTCTGACTTCTTCCTTTTGGACCACGTTTGGACCACGTTCGGGCTCAACAACAAGGGTAAAGATAACACAAGTCCGCAAAGATGTCTTGTGTTCAGTTATCTTTCGTCCTTAGACGAGCTGTTCCCAAATCGTCGTTGTCTTTACTGTCTCTTCTGCCTCGTCAATCTGTACGCTCGACCATGGACGGTGGTATTACTAAGGATGGCCTTTTTGCTGTCAACAACACTGTTGCGCCAAAGCCTAGTAGCATTCTATCTTTGTTTAGCTTGAAAGGCAGGACAGCAGTGATCAGTGGAGGTCCTGCTGGTATTGGTCTCGCAGTTGCAAAGACATATGCAGAGGCCGGCGCAAATGTCGCCATCTGGTACAACAGCAATGCCGTTGCTCACGAGCGTGCCGCCGAGATTGAGAAGGAGTATGGTGTCAGCTGTGAGTGGAGTTCAAATTTGAACGCACGCGACCAATACACTGACAAAACTGATGACAGGCNNAAGGCATACAAAGTAAACGTAACAGACGCCGAAGACGTAAAGAAAGGCCTCACCCAGAGTGTCCAAGACCTGAACGGACGCCTCGATATCTTCGTCGCCAATGCCGGTATTCCATGGACCCAGGGCAACATGATCGATGGAGAACTGGACCACTACCGCAAAGTCATGACAACAGACGTAGACGGTGTATACTACTGCGCACGCGCTGCCGGCGAGATCTGGAGGCGGCAAGCCCAAGAAGGCACCGACATGAACGGCAACAAGCTCGAAAACTACTCATACGGCTCTTTCATCACGACTGCTTCAATGTCAGGCCACATTGTCAACTTCCCTCAACTACAATCAGCATACAACGCAGCAAAGGCCGCAGTGCTGCACTTGACAAAGTGTTTGGCGGTTGAATGGGTCAAGATTGCGAGATGCAACTCTGTCTCGCCCGGTTATACCGCGACAGAACTTACAACATTCGTGCCCGAGGAGACAAAAGGCATCTGGAGAAGCAAGATTCCCATGGGTCGTGAAGGCGAGCCTCATGAGATGCGCGGCGCATACCTGTACCTAGCTTCGGATGCTGCTTCTTACACGACTGGCGCAGACATCATCGTTGATGGCGGTTACTGCTTGCCGTAAAGCATCTACCCAAGAGGTCAAGTGGGCTTCTCCTTTTCGATTGAGAAACCGGATAGAAGCGAGGACGCCAGTACCGGTGGCGAGGATAGTCATGTGTATAAGAAGGGAGGGTGATCTTTTTCGAATAGCGATATTAATAGAGCCCAGACTCGTATCCGTGTAACGTCTGACCTTGAGTGGTGCCCTCCACATACGTGTCTAGTAGCTGGAACGTCGTATTTAAGAGAGCTTATTGATGATTGACAGCCCTATCTTTGCTTTTGTCCAGAAAGTGTGTTTGGTACACTGTAGGGTGGCGTTCTCTCGAAATATTGACATCGTCTAAAACTCTAGGAAGGATTTGCTGATCACTTGGCTTCATGTGCTTGGCAAAGCTCGTCGACCAGTTCAGGAAAACCCTCGGAGGCGAGTTACGGGAGCTGAGTCTCTTCTTGGATGCAGAGAAATTGCCGTGTTTGATGTCTATGAACTGTTCGACTCGAAACGTGTGACAGGAGTCAAGAGAGACAAAAGTGTTTCTTAGCTAGAAGATGTTATAGAGTAGGTGCGATGGTGCCACGAAACAGCCGAAGGACCCTGGATATTCTCCTACCCATGCGGCTCAATTTTTGTCTCAGTTCGTGACTGGAATGCTGGGGAACTCATCTACTTTTTGTCTCTTCTTTGTCTCTTCGACCGCTCGTTTGTCGTTTCCATGAGACAATCCTACTCATGGGTTTAGAGTTCATACCTTCAATGAGGGTCAACGTTGTTTGAGTAGCGATGCGAAACGGATCTTCTGATCCTGGACTGGCGCTCAGTCGGTGCGATTCGTGCATCTGCCGGATTGAGAGAATGGTATGAGGTTGAAGACAAGGGGGAGGCCTTAATTCTGTTGACATGGTGAAGCGCGACAGGTGGATCGCTGCAAGTCGCATATGCGCGTGAGGTTGCAATATCTGTTACTCCTATAGTGCTCGATATCATGGGTCCTTCAAACTGCTGCTTCTAATCATTGCGGCGGAAAACGTGTAGAGAAATGGAGCCCTCTATTGATCGGTTACTTGCATGCCAAGCAACATTCTTTCCGCAGACTCCGAGGGCTTCCTGATACGCGAGAGCGCAGCGCCGTAGATCACTGTTCGCTTTGAATGCTTATCTTATTTTTATACTACTGTGGCTGATAGAGAGTCAGAATAGGCGGTAGCACTGTGGCCGCATCTGGTATGACGCGCCCACGCGAGTGGCACGCGACGGTGCTCGTTTTGGTAAAAGGAGAATGTGGATTCTTTGTCGAAGCGCGCAAAACTAGTGCATGCAACGTGGGTAGTATCTGTGGCTGGCAAGGCACTCGAGTACGACCCACGCAAGAACGAAGAACAGAAGCATGCAGCAGAGCAACAGACTCGGAAAGAGGAGCATTTTGGATCGGGACAAACAAGAGCGAGGCCCCGGGACGAAGACGACGCAAGCATTTGCTCATGAAAGCATCGCGCACAGAGTGGGGTCTGCAAACGCGTGGTGTCTGTTGAAGAGGCTGTTGAAGAGCCAAGGAAGACGGCAAGCAGACCAATGCTCGGGAAGGAGTACCGACAGACCAAAGTCAATCAGGTTGGCACTTGGTGAGATGCAATCGATCAGGGAAACATGCTTGTCGAAGGGAAGTCTTAGGCGGTACGGGTCGGGAGCACGATGGTTGATGGGTTGCTATCACCGATCTCACAGTGTCCGTAGCGAGTTGCGACAGGAACATGGTTTTGATGATTGCGAAAGCTGGCGGGCCGGGTTTGGTTTAGAGTTGTACAAGCAAAAATCTCCACCAGTTTGCAGCCACGGATGACGTTGGTGGAATGGTGTCTGGTTTCGAGGATCGGGCTGAAGGCTGGGGACTCCTGATTTTCAAACAGTTCGTGTCTTTCGTCGAGCAACGGGACGCGGGATTTACAGTCCGTTGGGCCTCTGGGTGACGCCTCTGTAGCCCAAACATGACAGGCACCCTTACAATCTAGCAGTTTGACCGAGCTGTTGCCCGGTAGTCTAAGTCTAGACTTTTTTGCAGCGCTAGAGCAAGCAGCGTGTGAATGATTTTCAAATGGTGCAGGAGGGCGGGAGCGAGAAGATTCAAGAGTCGGGGGCACAGGCAAGCATGTCAGCATGTGATTGGCGAGGTGCATATGTCGCGATATGTAGGGGTCGAAAGACGGTGAGAATATGAGCATGTCCAGATATCAGATACGAGAGAGGGCAGCGCACGAGTATCACATGGGTGCAGGGTTGCAGCAGGGTTAGCAGCGGACGTGAATGGTGCAGGTGAGGGAGCCCGTGGAAGTGGCAGTTGGAGCGGAGTGTAAATGCTGGCGTAACGTGCGTCGACGGTGGATGCTTGGTCCGGGCTCTCTCTTGGGATGTGGGTTCTGGGATGCGCTTTGGTATAGAATCTCTCGATCTCCCGCCTGTGCCGGCTCGCGAGTCTGTTCACGTCCTTGCTGAATCCTGTTTTCCACATGGCCCTTTGCACCTGCACATCTGCATCTCTTATCACAGTTCACCTGCCTCTCTTCTGATAACAGCCAACACATCAACCGGACAGCCGCCAACGCTTTTGATCTCTTCCGACGCGACCCCTCACAGCCAGTGACTTATCTTCGTATCGGTACCTCAGCACTTTACACAACTCAGACCAAACTCTACCCCCGCTCTTACCTCCGTCCGCGCCGCTGCTTCTCTTGACAAGAAGTCGCTCCTCCCACGTCTCTCGTCGACATGGCCGCATCATTGGACTACCCGGCACAGCAGTTCAACGTGCACCGAAGGCCTTTGCCGTCTAGCACGCCCGCCATGGACTATCTGCAGCACTCTCGCTCGCGCACCATTTCGTCCAACGTCGTGCCCGCTCAGCAATACCAGCATCAACACCCGCAACAANCCCCATCTCCCCCACTCAATCAATCCCGCCGCACCCTCTCCAATGCCACCACTTCGACTGCAAGCACCCACAGCAGCGTGCACGGCCGCGTTCCTGCCGCTCCTTCGTCATATGCTTCGTCAATTCGCCGATCCACTTCCTCCCGCTCCAACAACTCGCCTTCGTCATACGTCTCCCTGATGCGTAAACAGAAGGCCACCGTCTGGTGCGATCGTGCCCAGCTCGAGGATCCTCGCATTCTTGCCCAGCAAAGGGCTGCCAAGGTCCGCGCCCAGATGGAGGTTGTTGGCGGCGTCTCGGCCACTGGCAACAACCGCTCAGCCGGAAGCAGTGGAGGTATTGCTAGCAAGATCCGCCATCACGGTGCTGTCAAGGCTTCGGCATACTCAGCTGCCGGCAACTTGTCTGGAGCTGGTGTGCCGATGCGTCTCAGCGCCAGCGAGGTCGATGAAGACAACAGCGACGACGACAGTGCCATTGCTCGCTACCACCAGCGCAACAACTCTGGACGCAGCAGTCTGGGCTCGGGTCGCCATATGCGTGAAAGCTACTATGCTGGCCCCACACCCACCGCAACTCGCTTCAGCAATGGCAGCACACCGCCCAGCAACAATAGCTACAGCCCTGTCGACAAGCACCCGGACACGCGCGACCGCCAGGACTCGATCGCTACCACTCGCTCATACTCTGACGCCACCCCACAACAAGGTGCTCCCAGGAACGATTACTTCACTCACCCTGGTGGCAATGGTAGCTCGAGCGGATCCATCCAGGAAGAGCGTTTTGGAGATGTCGGAAGTCTGCCGACCCGCGCACCCGTCTCTTACAACTACGACCAACAAAAGACGAATGACGAAATGCGCCGACGAGGCAGTGTCGACGACCGCACAACCACTATGAGCGGCGTCCGCCTGTTTGTCGCCAACCCCGACATGGACGACGATTAGACATGACTCTCTTTTGCAGCAAGATCCGCTGGCTCGGCTCTCATCCCCCCTGCTGGAAACATGAGAATGACCCTTTCTTCATATATTCCTATACTCATCTTCCCCTTTTTGCTTTCTTATTGTAATATCCCCCGATCGCTTATTCTTGTTGCCGCTTTCAACCACCCATTCCCTTTCAATACCACTACATTCGTGTGTTTGCCATTTTCACGTTCGCTTCTAGCCATTAGTACGAGACCACAATATCCATGCTTCCTCCAATGAAGGAGGAGAGAGAATAAGAATATCATTATGCTGTGTACCTCTCCTTGTCTTTGCCCGTTGTGATTGCTTCTCCGCACATTTACCTACAAGTGCTTGCCATGCCTCTCGGCGCATCGTCTCGCCTCCTTGTGTTTTCTTCTTCTTCTAGTTTTAGCCCCCTCGATGACCAATCCTCGAGACCTCGGCGTCACCCGTATACTCCAATGCCGTGAGAGAGATTTACACTACCGTTGACAGATTTGTTTCTCTTGTAGAGATAGCATTTCCCAACGAGCAATTTGAGAGAGACAGTTTCCCGCACGTATCAAGCAAGAAACGATCAAAAGCTGATAAAAGAGTTGTAGTTTCTCATTAATTACCAATTAGAAAAGAAGAACCCAGAAGGAGAAAAAGCTATTTCCAAGAAAAGACAAGGAATATGTGTTGCACATCTCAAGAAGAAAGACTACTCAAAGATGAGGCCAAACACTCATGTCTTCGGCATGTTGGTCTCTCAAACAATGACCTTGTCTTCCCACCACTTCCTTCAAATACTCCACGGTATCAGGATCTTGTGTCCAAAAACTGCTCCCTCGCATCCCGCAGGCAATATTCGGTGCCGCACCTTGCAGTCTGCCCTCTGAATCTACACCGATCCCCGGCGGAGAAGCTTTGGAGTCGTGGTCTTTGGCACTGTGGTCTTTTCCCTTTTTNGCGTTTACGATTGCGATTTCCGAGGGCGCGTCTTGGTGGTGGAAGAGCTCGGGGTTTGCAGACCAGCAGCGGAAACTGCGGTCGCGGCAGATTTCGAGGATGCGCACGTCGTAGGCTTCGCAGCCGCCTTCGGGCTCCGAGGCGGCGACGTCGTGGAGGAGGCGGGTGGCGCCTGCGCGGGACAGGGCAAAGCCGAAAGTGCATAGAGGAGAGATGGAGCGGTGGATCACGCGGGTCTTGATGGGGACGCCTATCTCGGCGAGGAAGCGGCGGGTGAGGATGTGCATGTATTCTGGAGATGGCAGGGTTGGGTCCGAGACAGCGAGCCGAGGGACATCGGTTTCGTTTGCCCATTCCGGGGAGGTGAACATGTCGCCGCAGTGGCCGAGGTAGAGGATGTCCCAATCTGTGGGTTTGCCCCAGTAGCCGCCTGCTTGTTCTGGAGTGACGATGTTTTGTCTCGAGTTTGGTGTTGCAGGGAGTGGATTGGCTTGCTCAGTAAGCAGCGTGCGCATGGCAGCAGCCACCTTGGGCACTTGGGATGTACGCAAGTGTATGTCCCAGTCCACATCGTCTTCCATGACTAGCATAGTCTCTAGCCCCGAGTCCAGAAACCAGCGCAAAGCATTCAGGTGGCCCATCCATGCCAGCGCCGAGCCGCGAGTGATGAGGGAATGGTTTTCTGCTTTGAAGTCTTTGAGGTCTGCGTCGGTCCACACGGGTTGGTCTGGTATCGTAATGTCGATTTCGGTGATGTTTGCTGCCAGCAGCAGGCTGTTGCGGCGTTTCGATGTCCGTGTCGAGACGGCGACGATGGCGCCAAACTGGGAGTCTGTCAGTGACTGTACTTCATGCCTCAGGATGCAGCTGTTCCCTACACCTAGTGTTGCGTTCGCGACAGGAAGATCTGGCACATGGACAAAGTAGTGAAGTCCCGCCTGCACTGCAGAGGACACTGACGACGGATGGCCCGCCCATGTGTATAGCAAGAAAAGACACAGCGTGACAAGAGCGATGACAACAAATCGCCTTCTCCGCGGGTCCATCCTGCCCGGCCGTGAACTTGACCGTGATGGAAAAGCGACGGCAGCAGCTTTGGCGTGGTGCATCTTCTGGAGTAAGGGTGATCAAAAGAGTGTATGGTGACGGACACGAAGGTGGAAAAGACAAAACAAAACGGCGGAACAGCGCAGTGAAATCTTTCCGACACTCGGGTGTCTAGCCAGCTGGTAGCTGAAGCCTACCGTCTGTATCTCTCATCAGGGGCTCTGCGCCCATGGATAGACTATCGTCCCTGTGAATGCACGTTGCCAAGCGTCAACTTGGCAGGAGTTGGGTAGTCGCTACCTCAGCTCTTGTGACAGTGGGTCTACGTTGAATTTGTGAAATTGTTTGCTGTGTAGCAAACACTGAGCAGCGGGTTCATGCTGACCAAGTGGAGCTGATTGAAAAAGTGTGCATCTTGTGTTGCATTCTAAGGAGTACAGCTTCGGCCCCTGGAGGACGGAAGTGTCGTTTAACTTTCGGCTGGGTCTCCGCAAGAGGCTTGTGTCCTCCACATGGCACAGCTGCACGTTCCAGCCCTACACTTTATGCGATGACATGTGAACATCTTGTATAACAGTGTATAGAGTCTAGGTTGGCTTATACATGTTCAAAGGACAGAGCGATCGTCTTGTACTCATGAACCAGTCCTCAGGTCTCGCTGCAGCCGAGGCATGCATGCAGATCGGCCTTGAGGCTTATAAACGCGAGTGCTTATCGCCTTGCATAAGGCCTTATCTTTCGAGTGAGCTACTTAGCAAGTACATGATGCACAGGATCGACCAAAGGGATATGTAGATGGCCAGACGACATACATGTGAGCATCACCAGTGTCATCCTCACAACACCCATACAATGTCTTGGAAGGTCTCGAAAGCGACACTTGCTGATGTGCCCGCCATAACATCAATCTACTCCCACGACGAGCCCACGCCATTCATAGAACTCTGCTTGGGATCCTTGAACGTGCTGGCGCTAAACTTCAACCAGGCGGCACGTATCGCTGAGAGCTTGCAAGACGAAGAACAAGCCTGGTTCGTTGCTCGAGATGAGCGCAACAGAATAACCAGCTTTGCTGAGTGGCATCTGCCAAAAGACGAGACAGATACTGAAGAACAGATGGCGCAAGAGCNNTTGTACGTCGAAGAAGAGTTATTCCCGATATCTAGGCCAAGCAATAACATGAATCAGGCCGACGCGCAGGAAGCCTACGAGGACTCAATCGCACCTGGCATGAACTCGAGCCTCGTCGTCGAATTCAGGCATCGGGTTACAAAACTCCGCAATGACGTGCTGCGTGGACGGAGACATTACTGTTGGTCATTATGTTCCGCTGGGTTAGTTGGCAGATGCTGACGACGACACTTTANNGTGCTCATGAATATTGGAACAATGAATCAAAGCCGGCAGAGGGGTGCGGCCACTGCGCTCGTGAAGACAATACTCGCGGCCGCGGATCGAGAAAAGGTTAGCTGTATCTATCTGGATACAGTGGCCGAGNGGCCCGCCAGAAAGCTGTTTGACAAGCTGGGGTTTGAGGAAGTTGGCAGGTTCGATATTGATCTCAGCGAACATGGCGGCCAAGGCGTGCATAGTCAAGTTGGCATGCTTAGATGGGCCTGGGCGGCCGTGTAACTGGTGAAGAGGGTAGGAAAGGCATGAAGGAGCGGTCGTGTGACGAGAGCAGTCGGCTCGCTAGGTCCTGCTGTTTTGCAGATCCGAGTGTCTTCTGGAGCGTTGCATCTTGCCGCGACATGTTTCGAATTTCATTTCCCAAACAGACCCCCTCTCTTTGGTGTTTTTATTATTAGACACCTAATCATCAGCTAATGATATTCATTCTATAACAGTCGCAGCAGGCCAGCGACACCCTTTCTCTCGATATTTCTTTGCATTGATTCTGGTCCGCGGCAGCGCATCGCGTCGACTCTTCTGGACCCGTTAGTACCTGCATGTGACGCAACCGCCAGAAAACAATCCATACAAAACCACTCTCCCACCACCGCGACAGGACACGCGACATGGCCGACACGATGGATGGAAAGCCGGCGCGCTATCGCTCACAACGCAAGCCCGCAGCCGCAGCCGCATCGATACCACAGACAGCACAAGACGCCGGCATAGGGAGAAGCAGGTCTCGCTACCACAAAACCCGCCCTGCCGCTGCCCACACTCAAGAACACTCGCCTGTCCCCGAGCCCGCACACGACGCACCCATCCTTCCGACTAGAACTCGTTCCACCCGTGCCAGTCGTGGTAGAGACGGATCGCGCGACGCAGAAGCCGGCGCCTTTGACTCTGGCGACGATGGTTACGGAAGCATGCGATCGCAGCACAAGAGCCTGGAACAGTCCAAATCTCCTCCAAGAGAGGACATCATGGCCATCGCAAGAGCTCAGGCTCCTACACAGATCCGCGCCAAGGTCGAGAACTACATACCCGATCAGGAAGAGGGCGATGTCTCGGCTGAAGAAACAGCTGGCTGTTTTGGAATATTTGGTAGGAAAAAGAAGAAGACCAAGACTGCGACAACACCGCTCAATGCTCGACCTGCTGTTACCAAGTCGGCTGAGCCTCCAGTCATCAGACCTGGAGGTCGTGGCATAGTTCCTATGACGGACGCTCCTGTATCGGCACCAAACGGCGTGCCAGAGGGAAACAGAGTGAGTTGACTTGGATTGCTGTAACAATATATGACTAACCATGGAGTAGNNCGTGTTCGCGTCGAGTGTAATGGAAAATCTATCGATCTACCCGTCGAGCCTACCACTTCTGCCGCAGATCTGATTGCATCAGCCGCCAATTGCCTATCCGAACCCATCGATCTTAAATCGTCCGTCCTCCTCGAGGGTTTCACATCAAAGGTGGACGTGACACGGCCGCTGAGACGCTACGAATATGTTTTCGACGTCATGAACTCCTGGGATGAAGATCGCGCCAATTCTTTGCAAATCGTGCCTGCTCGCGTATTGTCGAGCAACTCGAGCAATCTAAGTCTTGCGAACGTCCCACGCGAGAAACCTCGGGAAACTTCCTTCTTGGTGCAGCATTCGCAGAAACCGGGCACATGGCACAAGCGCTTGGTCACCATCCGTCAAGATGGTCAACTTGTTGCCGCAAAGCCAAACAAAGAGTCTGAAACGACAAACATCGGTCATCTTACAGATTTCGACATTTACACTCCTACAGCCAGATTCATGTCTAAGATGCTAAAACCCNCCAAGAAGATCTGCTACGCCGTAAAGAGCCAGCAAAAGTCCAACATATTTCAACAAGACTCGAAATCAGTATACGTCCATTTTTTCTGTACATCAGACGAAACGCTTGCCGCCAGCTTCCACGACGCCGTACAGGGCTGGCGCAGTTGGTATCTGCACCATGCCAAAGACGAGGGCAAGCAAAAGACAGCTACCGGGTTAGGTCGATCATCCAGCAAAGCGACGAAACAGTCAAAGCAATCTTCCCATGCTCATCAGCCTTCGACTGGATCAATGGACGCTCACTATCAACTAGGCAGCTACAAGCCACTCATGGACCTCGACAAGTTCGATAGACCCACATCATCGAGGGGCCAGGATACCGCTTCCGGTGCTCCTGCTCGCAAGCCTTCAGTGCGTGAGCGATCAAGTCATCCTTCTGCTTTGTCGCAACAACAGAGACTGGCGGATGATGAACCTCTTGGCAAATTGGCAGAAAACAGAAGATCCTCTATTGATCAAGACTCTGCGGCAGAAAGAGAAGCATTTGTAGGAGATGGTTTGCTCGGTAGAAGCTACTCGACTCGCCAAAAGGCAGCCGCAGAACGAGAAACTGCAGCAAAGAATCCTTGGGTCACAGGTCCCTCGTTACTGAGCGGCAACCAGGGAGAGATATTGGCCCGCCAGGGCTCTGTCAAGCGAAGTGGATCCACACGCCGTACTGATGGCCATGGAACTGATCTCAAGCACCGTCCGTCCACTCGTGAGCGCCTCATGGCCGCCGATGATGGACTGAAGCGATCTGGATCTACCCGCGCAAAGGAACCGTCAAAGCCGCTGGTCGATCTCACTCCTACCTACAAGCCGCCGCCCCAACATTCAAAGAAGGGCAGAGGCGTCCGTCCGGATGAAGTTGGTCCTGGAGGATTAATCGACAATGCAACATCACCCGAACAAGCTTACCAGATTCCTTCTGCGCATGATTGGCGAGGTGGGCGAGCCAATGTTCCCGCAGCAGCCAACGCAGGAGTCAGTCGCCAGCGCTCTCTGGCTCACAGACCCGCACCTGACTCTACAGATGATGCCTTTACCGGCCGCGGTCTTCTGAACAATGCTCGTGGTGGCTATGACGGCAGAAATTCTATAGGCAGAGGGGTCATGAGCGGCAACAGAAACGCACGCGAGCCCATGTTGGATGTCTCGGAAGAAGGCAGATATGCGCCTGGCAGTCTCCTTAATCAGGTCGCCAGGACCGAAAGAGAAGAAGGAAGAGGCGGACCCATCATCGATCGCAGCAAGTAAAAGTGCCTTGCCGTTTTTCTTTACATTCCTTTTGTCATATCCCAAAGCAAGCGAATCGTTGTTCCTCATGTTTCACAGGCGTGGGGAGAAAAGTTGTATCTGTGTCAGCAGTTTCGTTTGTCGTCTTTTCGTTGTTGCTTTCTCTAGAGATATCCCACAGCTCGTTCTGTTTGATTTTATGATTTGCTCCAATCAATCATGTTTTCCAAGTCTTGTTTGTGTACAAAATCCCGGTTGCTATGATCGAGGCTCACGCGTACGACTGGAGGGCAGTGGTTGATACAGATGAACGTAGACGTCTTGTTGTAGAAAGTAGAAGGGAACAACCTTTATTACTGTGAGCGAGCAGCAAAACTGTCATGCTGCAAGAACGGCATGTATGGTTTCCAGCCGGGTTGCGAAACAACTTCATCTCCATTGCTCGTTGCCCAGGGGAAAATCATTCTTCCGTGATACCCTGATTCATCTCTTCGTGCGGCGGTCAACTTCGATAGTCTATTTCAGTCTTGTGCCGAGAGTATCCTTCTTCAAGCATCTGTGTCAACACCAGCATCAACTATGGGACGCAAGTTTGTACGTTATAGAGGCGCTTCGCCCACGCCTTACTCAGCATCAGAGTCAGAGTCGGGGTGTTCACAAATCCTTGTCAAGAAGACCGTGACCAAAGAGAAGAAAAGCAACTGGGTCTTTGGTCGGGCAAGCCAGACAAGTAGTGTGAGTTCTGTGACCGAGCCGGCGCGTTCTGCTTCACGTGCGAGAGTTGCGCGTTATCGCTCGAGTTCCCATTCTCGCCATCACCACCATCACTCGCGAGACCATTCCTACCATCATTCTCATCCCAAGACTCTTAATCATCACGACGAGCACAGACGTCACCGACGCCATCGCCGGCGTTATAGCGAAGACGCGCCGCCAAGTGTCGAAGAGAAGAAGGTGGTCCACAAGAGCTGCCATTGTCAGCGCAAACACTCACTTCCAGTTGATCTCCACCATACTTGCCCACCTCCGATTCTTCTGGCCGTTCCCATCAAGTCGTCTCGCAAGATGGAAGAGGTTGGCGGGTTCAGTTACGAGGAGTGGTGCAAGAGACGCGAGTGTGTGGCTGTTCCCACCGAGACCATTGCTCCCAAATCGTCCATCTCAAATCGTTCGACTCAGAGTCAGAGCGAGGTGTCTGATCAAGACAACGCTTACCGTTACGTTGCTATGAGAGAACCTGGTCCTCAAGACGCTGTCGTGAGTAGACTGACACGAGGTCTTTGGCACAATTGACTGACCTTCATTCAGCCTGTCGCCTATGCTCTTTATCCTCAACCTGGTTACACTTACATGTATCCACCTCAACCATTCGCAGCCATGACAGCACCTCCAGCTCCCTCACCTGCTCCACCTGCACCTACAGCTGTAGCTGCTCCTTCGGCACACTCCAAGCAGGAAGAGTCTCACTACCGTCACTACGTCCACGAGCGCGTCCGCGAGAAGTCACTCCGCCGTGCATCCGAACCTCCCACCATTGAGAAGGCCTCGCCTCCACCACCCGCCCCTCAAGCCAACATGCCCACCATGACTTACGGCGCCTTTCCCTACGGTATGCCCGCCACCGCGATCCCAGTCGCCTACGCAATGCCCAACTACCCAGTACCCGTGTACACCGATACTCCCACAGCATCGCCCAAACTCAAGACCGATCGTGTGTGGGTCGGCCGTACTAAGAGACAAGTCGACGAAGACAATGCCAAGATTGCACACAAGGAAGGCGTGTACAAGCCCAACGAGATGGTTCCCAAGGCTGCCTCTCCCGACCAACTGTTTTGGGTCATTGAGCCTGATGATTCGAACACTTTGCGCAACTTTCGCACCATTGAGGAGGAGCTGTATCCTGGCAAGTGGAAGGTCGATCCGAGATATGGCAATGCGTACTTTGTGCGTGACAAGGAGGGGAAGAAGAAGTGATGATGCATGTGTTGCCGTTGCTTATCTGCTAGGGAAGCTCGTGGTCTTCGAGGCGGTATGGCCATCTCTTTCGTAGAAGTTGTGGATGATGAAGGATGAGGAGGGCTGACGAGAGAAACGAGGGACATACCACACAACTCAAATCAGTGGTTGTTTGCTAGAAGGGAAGTTGCGGCAGTTTTCCATCTCCTGCTTTCTGTTTTCATTTTCTGCTTTTCTTGCTTTGCTGCTTGGCCTTTTTCTTTCTTGCTTATCTTCCATACAAGGTCCAACAGTTCTTCTTCACATGTAAGAATACAGTCTAACGCGACGGCATGTCTATCGCTGCTCTTCGCTATGACCGAAGTTCTTGCTATCGTTGTACCCTTTTCCTGTTCCAAGTCCCCATTGTAGTGATGAGTGTTCGGGTATACTCCGGGAAACACCGTGTTTGGACGGGTCTTTTCCCTTCTGAACTTCAACACGTTCCTCCCTCTAATTACTCCACGATCCATTTACCAGAAGCGCGCCTCTTGGAATGTCCTGAAAAATCTCTCAAACAAGTTTTGTCTCTCAAGATCTCAATCGGCCTTGTATAATGGAGGAGGAACCATGGCCTGCGGCGCCGGTGCAGGTGCAGGTGCAGGTGCAGATCCAACGGGCTGCTGGTACACCATAGGCTGCACCCTCCCTGGCGCAGCATCCACCATCGACGTCTCGATCCCAGCACGCTCCTTGAGCTCATTCTCATGTTGAGCCTGCGCACAGCAGCCGCANAAGGTGCTGGCGAGACAATCCGTGCAGCCATTGCCGTCGACATTGAAGCGTTTTCTGATGGCGTGGCGCTGCATCCAGATGGACACGCAGGGGATTGCAAACGCCCAGCCTGCAAACATGGCTAGACAGGGTATGTTGAACCACTCGAAGCCGTGTGATGAGGACGAAGGGTCTTGTGGGTATTGCTCGAGGCGCCAGGCCGTGCGGCCGTAGATGCAGGGAGAGCAAAAGTAGGCTCCGCAGCAAGAGCCGCAGCTGTCCATGGAGCACAGATTGTGCTGCCAGTTCTGTCGTAGGGCCATTGTTTTGGGTTTGTCGCGTTCGATAGGTTCAGATGGTGAAAGACCGAGATGGAATACGATTGAGAGTTTAGGCGTAGATCAACGCAAAAAGGTAAGAGCGCGGGTAAGCAACAAGTATAGCAAGTGCTGCTGTTTGCCAACGATACTGAGACTGGAAACAGAGATGATGGCGCGAATGCATTGCTGTTATACGAGAGCCTGACATGCCCGGTCCGATATCGTGTTCATCATCGGTCAAATCAATCTTTCTATTTTCTTCACACATCCTCTTTTGCTCAGATCTGACCTCTTTCCATGTCAAGGTTAGATCGTGTTCGGTTCCTTCGCCGTTTTCCATGGTTTGATATCTACGAATGGGATATGGCTTCCAACACGCCCTATTTCCGACAATAATACAACCTCGACAGGCGGCGTTCGCGGGCCCCGTGAGAAATCTGGGGTAAACTACCTTATACGCATTCGCTCCGTGCAAGAGTCGAGTGGAGATCTCGGTCCGCGAACTTCGGGTCGAAACATTTGCTGCAATTAGTCCTGATGAACCGAATAATCTGAACTTGCGATCTTGATGGCAGCGCAAATCAAAGGTTCGGTCAATACACGTGTGTAAATGTACAGTAGCTCAAGTGCAACACAAGACAAGTGTGGTGTTGACGATCTCTGTAAATTTCCCTACGAGGACGATAGTTTGGAGCGAGCGACCCTGCTCGGCCTTGTTGTTCTTGACAATGCCACACCTGTCTGAACTGGCAAAAGGTCTCCAGTGGTGCCCGAGACACGAGATGCGACGTACAGATGCCGATTCGGCCGAGATCTGGGAGACGATACAAGTACGCCTGCGTACATCATTTTACATGCCCTCAACATACCCTCAACGTCTGCGTATGCCATTGCCATGGGATGCTAAGATTGGCGATGATGTCTTTCGCTTTTTGTTTACCAGCCCTGTAAGAAACCAGAACTTTGTTTCTAGGCTTCTGAAGATGTTCGGCCCATTCCCATCTCAGACGTTCGTCTAGGGGTTACAGAACGATAGCAGGCCGCGCATTGTAAGGCTACATCGTAAGGCTACATTGTGTCGGATCTCAACCTCATGAGCGCGGTGTACTAGGCCAAGTCTAGCAATGCGATTGGCCGTCTTTCCTGGCAGCATATCGATAAAATTTCCTCTCGAGCTCGATGTGCCAGATCTGGACAAGCTTTGCGTCTGAATGAGCGTCTTCGAGAATAAATATTGAAGGAAAAAACCTCTGCGTGTTACATCGAGATAGAGTCCACCTTGACAGCATGGAAATGCTTTAGATACTGTTTCGAGGATGCGGGTATACTTTTGCAACAAAAGAATGAGTAGTTCAGCGTCAGACGTCTTGCTCTCAAAGCTCCAAATAATGACGTCGTGCTTGGACCCGCAGAATGCATCACTTTCTCCAGAACCCACCCCATCGCCTTTCTCAAATGCCAAACACAAACACCACAAACGCATACCATCTACCCCTCCTCCTCTGCATATTCATCCTCGCTTTCTTTCCCTCCCTCATAGGACCTCTAGTCTACTCACCTCTCACCCTCCTCTCGTACACTTTATCGCTACTACCTTGGTCTGCCACCACCTCCACCCCGCCATCCATCTCGTCGCAACCATCCACAATGTCATTCTCGCAAAAACAGTTTACACTGCCAGCAAAGAGCAGAGGCAGTTACCTCATCACCGACACAGTGATGGAAAAAGTGCCAGAGATCAAGGACTACAAAGTTGGAGTGTTGCAGCTGTTTGTTCAGCACACGAGTTGCGCGTTGAGTTTGAATGAGAACTGGGATGAGGATGTGCGGNTATGTGGTGTCCTTTTCTCCTCTAGTTTACCCTTACCCTTGCCCTTGACTACTCTGCCAACCCCACCTTTGTACCCTTCTTCTCTAGATCATGCATGAGAGCTAACAAGTACAATAAGTCACGACATGTCCGACGCCCTCGACCGCATCGCCCCCGAAGACCGCAAAGGAAACTTGTACCGCCATTCTGCAGAAGGCCTTGACGATATGCCCGCACACATCAAATCCGCACTCGTCGGCGCGTCTGTCAGCATCCCGATTACAAACGGCAGACTCAACACGGGGACTTGGCAAGGTGTGTGGTTCTTGGAGTTTAGGGCGAGTAAGCATCAGAGAAAGGTTGTTGCTACAATTATGGGGGAAAAGGCGTAAGAAAGTGAGGGAAAGAAGTAGACAAATACAATACTTTGGATGTCTGGAAACCTTCGATGTTGAAGAGAAGCAGGAATATTTACTACAAGTGCCTTGGACTGCGGGTCGAACGGCACAATGAAATTACCTATCGATATTCAAACACTCGCAGAGGATACTTCTTTCCCTGACTCTGATTGTCGCACATCTTCTGCTCCAGATACATGATGAACTTGTATAATTTATGTGGATTTCATGGTTGTTGAGGATTGATATATACACTGCAACAAAGAGAGGTACAAAAGGCTAAAAGATGAAGGAGACGGGAGAACAAAGCATCTATCGCTGTTCCAAAGGCTTTCCAGTGTTGCTCTGGTATCCCTGAGGAACCTCCGCCTCATGGCCCTGAGGCTCAAGCGGGTACGAAGTCGAAGGCAGAGACTCGAGCATCTTGCGGTTGGACTCTTTGGCCNNTGTAAAACATGACTGTCAGCACGCACACCATTGAGGTAGTCCGAGTGCGGAAACGAAGAGGAGACTCACGTAAGGCAGACCGCAGTAAGTGCACCAGCATATTTGGGGTTTGTCGACGTTGATGAAGATGCGGGGGTGGCCGAGGGGACCGCCGCCGCCGTCGCACTTGACGGTGCGTTCCTTGACCCAGTTGACGGGTTGCTTGTGGATGAGCTCGATGGCTGCCATAGGGCGAGGCTGNTTTTGTGGTGTCTCGTCAGCAATCTCCTATCATGATCTCTTCTCTATCCTCTTCCCATGCGCCTCTATCTCTAATTGACCAAGTCCCTCCTCTTTTCTCCCAATTCTCTCGCAACCAGGGTATATGAAAAGAAAACGTACCTGATCATACATGATCATCTGCTCAAACCTCGGGCCCACCATGGCTTTTTCCCTGGGCTGCTGGCTTCTGCTCCAAACGCTCTTTCTGTTGGGCGCTTGCATGACGCGTCTTTCCTCTCCCTCTGCAACTGATTCTTGCAAAGGCTTGTCCATGTTGCCTTCACTGCTCAAGGGCATGGCATTGGTGCTGCTGACGGGGGATGGTGTGCTGCGGTCTTTGGTGTCATTGGCCGGGATGGGGTTGTCGGCGCGCAAGAGGGTGGAAGTGGTAAAGGCGCGGTGGGCGTGGCTGCAGCGGGTTGCGCAGCTGCGCGTGAGGCGGGTGGCGAGCATTGTGTTGTATTGTGTTGTATGTGTGCTGAGTGTACAGACTTGCTGCTACTTGATTGCGGGTTTCGTGGATTGCGGTATGAGATGCTGTTGCAACATGCCAAGAGTTGTGAAGTGTGATCCGTGCGCCTCCGCTGTCTGTGAAGCTTTTGGTCAGCAACAACGAGACTCTTCGACTTTTGCGCAGACAACCACATCAGAGCCAAATGGGGTTTTCAGAAACGTTGGCAGGACACTCGTACATACAAAGCTTCTATATCGAAAAGAAAGAATGAACAATGTAAGAGAGAATTGGTATGATTGTAAACGCTAAACAAACGAAAGGGAAACAAGCGTCTCTATGCTTGTGTACATGATTGCCAAAACAGCTTTCATCAAGGCGGAGGAGGCGTCCTCGAAATATCCACTCGTACGTCCCTCGTCTTGAAAATCTTCGACTTGCTTTGTCGATGCGCACTGTTTGACCTGCTCTTCCTATTTGCACTGTTCGACCTGCTCTGCGTGCCAGACGGCGGCATCGACGTCCTCACCAAAGACCTCCTGTCATTCTCATCATCGTCTTCCAGATAATCCGTTTGTGCTTCTAGTCTGCCGAGATCTTGCATCTCGGTCGGGTTNTCATCGTCTCCAACGGCGACAGTGGCCATGGAAACGCCATACTCGTCGTCGTTGAACTTTTTGAAGCCCTTGTTTCCTTCAGAGCGCTCGACAAACCCGAATCCATTGGCTCGTCCTTGGGCTCGTCCGATGGTGACGGGCTTGTCGGTGCAACCACTGCTGTCCGACGAAGCGCCACTCTTCCTGGACCCCGACCACCTGAACATGAAGGTATTCTTGATGAAGGACCCAGTGCTCGTGTCCTCGAAGAATTTCCTCCATAGTGGTCTGCACGCCGCCAGTGATGTGGCTACAATGGCAAGACCAGGTTCAATGACGCTCCAGATGCCCGTTTCTACCGCTTGCTTGAAGAATCCGTCAACGGTAGTCAGATTCGAGAGAGTGGCGACGCGGACAAGAGCGCAGACGGAGCTGACGGATCCCATGCAGAGCAGGAAGCCAGCCGTCAACTTCATCCCCACCGGCATGTTCGAGTTCCACAAGACGTAGATTGGGAGAAAGGCGTAGATGAAATCCGTCAATGTGTCCACACTTCCAAAGACGTAGGTCATGATGAGTAATGTGTGATCTGGTATGCATCTACCTTGTGCTCGGAGGACAATCTGATGGTTGACGTCCGCGCCGCAACGAAACAGATAGGTAAAAGAGTATGCAAGGCCATACATGGTCATTGTCGTGACAGTGATGTAGATGACAACCTTTTGCCATTGTTGAACGACAATTCGAAGGTAGAAAAAGGCGAGTGAAAGTTTGAGGAAGATGAGGCTGAGAACGTAAAAGAGAGTGAATAGAACAGAGCTCTAGCAGGTCGTCAGCAATCGACACAAGGTACCGATAGCAGGCTGACTCACCATATATATCTTCTCAATGGCCACTAACGCAGTCTTTATTCCTCCAGATATGTCCGCTAATATCTTCGGATCGTGCTCAAGAGTGATCAGTTGGATGGCAAACCCGCAGAACACCATAAACNNCAGATCTGGAAACTCGAGTCAATACACACCCACGACTGATATGCCAATCAGACTGACCTGTGCTCCCATCAAGAACATATCATCGATCCCAAATCCTTTGACTATGAAGGTCCTCACATACAAGCGCAACGACAGCGCTACTACCGTAATAGGCATGAAGGCTACGGCCACCGCCTTGAGCGAAAGCGACGACTTTCCAACTGCTGCTATTGCTTCGGGATCCATGAACATGAGAAGTGACATTCAAAGTCGAATTTTCTCCAAAGCCTGGAGAGCAAGGCTTTATGATGGAATGGTTTCAGGTCGGTATCAGGTCCGTCTCAGCTCCGGGATCGCTTCCCGGCTATGTGCGATGTGGCTTGCGATGTAGGGCGGCAATCGAGTCAGATTGTTATTGGCAAATCAATCTGCGCTCATAGTGTGTTGGATATTGTGGTGACAAAAACACGGCTTGTAGCGATGTTCCATCGGTTCGAGAGCAGATAGTGGCACACATGTACTGACCTCGCAGCATCAGCAAATACACACCCGTTCTCGTCCGAGATTTACAGGACCATCAAGGACGACAGAGGAGTCCGTATGGTAAAAACTCAATAAAATGGATTCTGGTACAAGTGTAACAGACCAGTCAAAGAAAGCGCGATCAATCCGATCACATTGACCAGTGAGCGGAGAATGCGTAAAGCAATAGACGATGTCGAGCATAGGAAAGACCGCTTGAAGGTCCTGCTCAACTGGTCTTGCGTACACCATGCACGTTACTGCTGCTTTAAAGATTGGGCGTCGTAACTAGGGTTGTGTGGGGATATTCGGGGACCACATAGACGGAAGCTAGGCATGGCCATGCGAGTCATGACAGAAATGGACGTGAGAAGCGGCGATACAAACAGCTCAAGATCCATTGCCAATCAATCGGTCCTTGTTGTAAATTGAAATTTCGTGGTCCAAAGGTGCTTACGCTGCTGCTGCATTGTTTTGGGTTGGACGTGCATATCCACATTGGGTCCTTGCTCGTAGCCGGTGGCATGACACCATCACCTGCTCCATCGACATTGTGCAACAGATGAAGGGAAGCTCCGGTCCGTCCCATGATTGTGGGTTTTGACAGCTCTGTGGCGGTGGCATTGACCATAGCTGAGCTGCATGGAGCCGCATTTGCAACGACTTGGGCTGATCCCAAGGCAAGTACACACGAGCCTGTCGGTTGGCCTGAGCACACCTCATGGTCGAGTTGCAGTCGGTGGGCGCCTGAAGCTCGAACAGGGCGTGAGTCCATGAGTATAAGTGCGTGGTAGCGTCCTCAATCAATCAACCGGAATCCTCGCTCTTATTATTCGAGGCCATGGGCGACATGGTAGGTACGTTTCCGCTCGGGTTCATCTCGCAAGGCGGCGCCGATTCCGAAAGACATTTCATGGCAGATCGGGACCCCGGCCACACGAAGACACAGAAACGTGGTTGATTGCCATCGTGGCTGGGTACAATATCGCAAGTGCAGAGCTTGGGATGGTGGGATGTCCAGATTGACATCTCCTCATTTGTCTGGGTCGTGGGGTGCCCGACGGCCAGTCATGTCAATATGGGAACGGGGACCACTCGGGGATACGGCGATCAGTGGATGACTTGGTGTTTGGCTTGAAAACATGAAAGAGCAAGCCGTTGAGCTCTTTCCACCCGAGATCTCAACAAGGAAAGGCAGACGCCAAAAACCACCAGATGGTGAGATGGCGTTTTCGTTTTCTGTCAATTCCTCGTTCGGCTTGCGCTTTCCCGGTCTCAGATCCCGATCCTTGAGCAAGCTGTAGCGAATGACGCCCAAAGTGGTCTGCAAGATGCAAGTAACGGAAGACTTTAATATGCGTGAAGCGGCCACGAGGTCCCGAGCAGCCGCCGCAAGCGCTGAAGCCGGCAGGTCCCCTGGCGCCGTCGACACCGTCCATGTGGATCACGGTCCTTCTCCGACAAGTCGTGCAGTAGCGCATGGCGAATACAAAAACCCCACTCTCTTGACGAAAGTCCAGCTTGCGACTCTGATGCATCGCTGAAAGTCTGTCAAAGTGTTTTGCGGCAAGAAGTGGTCATATTTGGTAAGCGAAGTTTCGAGATGTCAATTTTGGAGGCCAGGGTGTGCCTAGTCACTGGCTATTTTCTGACCATCTTTATTGCCCTCCCACCGTCAGTAAGCTGAAAAAGCCAAACAGGGAGCTGGTGTATTGATCGTGCAATCTAGATGTAGCGAGGACGGATATCTGTGTTTCCGTTCTCAGAGAGAAGGATGTTCCCATCTAACACGAGTTCTAGCGGACTACTAGCTTAATGATCTTTGATTGCACAAGGACATCAGACTGAACGTGCAGGCCCTCTATTTCAGTATCTCCGATACTAGGTTTTCCATCACTCACACATCTTATTCAGAAGCATCATCCCGTTCCTCAACAACGACATTGCAATCAAATTAGAACCCCAAACGCTCATTCATACGCCTTAACAGACCTCGTTAGCCATGGCAGAAGCTGGAGATCACATCAACACTAACATGGCCATTCTGTGTTCAACATCCTTTCTTCTTGCTAATCGAAGAGGGAGATCTCAAGTGGAATGTGCGTTAGTATACCGGTAATGCGAAGTCCAGTTTGTACGACAAACACTGCTTCCATCGAGTGCATCAAACCTACCTGCCGAGATTGCGAGCACTGGCTTTGATTTCAGTTGTTGGCAAGTCGAGAGAATGTTTAGCTAGTGTCTTGTATTGCATTCATAGATTTCGGAATTTCATTTTCCAGCTGCTACCTAAATAGTTTACACCTAGTCGTGATCGTTGGCGTACTTCTCGAGCATATTTCTTACGACATCAAGAAAGTTCTCCCCTTAGGGACGAGCACAAGAGAGCTTCGATTCGCAAACGAAAGGGCCAAAAAGAGTGCTGACAGATCACGGACAAAGGTTGGAATTGATCGTGAGTTCTTTGCTGATTTACATGTCTCGATAGCGCTTTCTCCTTGCTCTCTTATCACAGCATGATCGTCCGCGGGTTCCAAAGTTCGCGACATACCCACCATTGATCATGCTCTTCTCCTCGCCGTCCTCCGTCAGCCCAAGTTAGCTTGTGAATCGAGTACTTTGGTCTTGCAGTGAGGGTTATTCTTCATTGCCCTGAGCGTCACGATCACTGACTGCGCGCTGCTCTACTCGTAGCATCTTGTCGATGGCCAAGCGGACACCTGTAATACCTCTAGAGACCACTAAAGTATCTGGCCAAGGCTGTCTGCTGCCACTGATCTGGAGATTCTCGAGTTGGAGGGCATATTGCTGAAGTGCAACTAGCACCTCTTTCCAAGAGCCATCGAGGTCGCAGCTGCAAATGCACAAGCGACGGAGAGTTGGTCCCAGATTCTCGACAAGATTCGTCATCGTCTGTTGACTAATCTCTATGTCGGATAGAGATAGTTCCTCGAGTGGCAAACGTGAGATCAGCTGACCAAAAGGATCAAACTTGTGATGATCGAGGTCGTCGAATATCATACAGCAGACGTCTAGGTTTTTCACATCAGTGCTCCCGAACAGCAAATTCTTTATCCACTGTATGAAATCCTGAGGCTCGGGACCTCCTTGGATCAACGTCAGTTCGAGCGAGAGCTCCGACACGGAACTCATGAGAGCTGATAGGTCGTAGTCGGTATCACGGCAGAACCGAAGTGAAGCGACCGCAATGTCGAGCTTTGATACCCTGCAGCCAGCTCGCTTTGCTGACTGGAGGACAACACTCGAAGTGAAAGGCACATCTGCGTAGAAGTATTGGGTGTCCTCGTCTGGCAGATAGATCTCTCTGCGACCAATTGACGCGAATTCGTTGGGAGAGATGGTTATCGTTAAGCTGTGATTAAACTTTGCAAGCTGATAGAATGCTTGTTCGAGCAGGCTGTTCACGTCATGGGCAACCAAAAACTCTTCAGCATCACATCTTGCAGAAAGGAGTTGTACTGTCTGCACAAGTTCCTTCCGTGTCAGCCTCCACGATGCCATCTCTTGCACGAGCGAATCAAAGTCGTCCGGGTCGAAGCGAGTATGAGAGAGTCCGACTCTGCGGACGCAAGACCCGAAGATAGGATGGCCACAGATCTTGACGAAGGTTTCGAGGCTGTACTGCGTGTACAGTAGCGGAACCACACTGAAGCAGAGTTTGCCGAAAGCCTTGGTGGCAGATGCGTGGATACCCTGCGACTTGCTGGTGAGACGTAGGGCAGTGAGATCCTTCTTATTGAGACCAGGATCGTTGCAGATCTTGGAGACCTACTCAGGAGGAAGTGAAGAGAACGAAGCCGACGGTGACAAATCCATCGTTGATGTGTATGTGCTGATGCGTTCGTTTTGATGCGTGAATACTGGTAAGTTTGTGTTGCTGAACCTGTGGTGGTGTTAGTGCCTTTGCCGACAGAAAGGTGCAATGAATGATGAATCTGTTTACCTTGCTGAGTAAATCTAGCAAGTGAAGATGCGGAGACAATCAAGGACGTTGTTATGAGATGTCGATGGAGCAAAGAGAGAGGTTATTGTGGTTGCGTATTGATGAGATTGAGTGGACGAAAGTTGTTTAAAAGCAGTGGATGAAACAAGAAGGAGAGTTTCAGCTTGTGAGAGTCGAGTTGTGTTGGTGCTGTAGTAAAAGCGGAGTTGACGCGCAGATGATGGTAAAAGGGAAGTGACGACTCTTTGCAAACAAAGGAAGTGACGAATCTTCGAACAGCGCAAGGCCCTGAATGGAGATATCCAAATTGTATCCGATTCCCCACTTGCATCTGCGAAGCACAAGCATTGAGTTACAGAATGCTTTGATACCAGGGGTACACCTGAGCCCTAACGTAGTCTTTACTGATCCGAGCCCATCAATATGCTATGTTATTAAGCTCTTGCTCTCCCATTTATTGCGCATTGTCCGTCACTCGCTTCGTACCATTCTCAACGACTGTCAACTTCGTCAAGTTGCGAAGCACGAGAAGCATTGTCATAGTTCGACAGCACATGAGCTAGGCTTGACTGTATGTCTGTTGGACCACAAACGTTGACGGATGAGAGGATTTGTGCTCCGTACCTAGCCAGGACCCCCCTGTTAAGGCAAAGTCTCAGGGACGAGAGATGCAACTCTTCGAGCTCAACAAGGTGNTCCTTGATCCAAGTGATGGTTGGCATCCATGACACCCCGTCCATCAAGCAAGCATCAAGAGTCAAGTAGCGCAATGTCCTCTGTTCCCTGGTCAATAGTTTGAGAAGATCCGGCTCATTGATCTTCAATCTGCGAAGATCAAGTCCCTTTAGACAAGTCGATGAGACTGATGAAAGAAGCTGCACCAGACCAAGGATGTGTGACCGTAGTCCCGCTGCAGCAAAGCCAATCAGACGCAGACGTTTGATTCGTACAGAGTCCGATAGAAACCTTTGTATGAGACGGGTGTGGTCTGAGTATNNGAACGTCTCCGCTTGACAGAGTCGAAATGAGAGTTAATCATCAGAACATGAGATTCTCAAGTTCAGTACTTCCAGCTGTAGGAGCAAATTTGATTCCAAGGGGTCCGAAAACCCGTAGCTCATAGTGCTACGATCCTTGACAGAGACTTCAATCGAGAGTGTTCGGGCGAGTAGCATACTATCGTTAACTGCGGCGCTAAGTGAATGGTTGGTGTGATCATGTTCGGGATACCATAGGCAGTCTCCAGGATGCTTTGCGGTAAGAACTTTACTACTTCCGAGTCCAGAGTATTCGATGATGGTAGAATTGAGGATCACGGGATTGTTTGTTCGAGACAGGGACCGAAAAGCCTGAGTGAGAAGCTTAAGAGGACTGCTAAGGGCGTCCCGAGCGAACTCGATCTCTGCCTGAGCACGAGAAAGATAACAATGGATCTGTCTTGCAAGATCGCTGAGATACTCCAGCTGATCTTTGGATTGCTCTGGTGGAGAATCTGGTTCAACCTCAAGTCCTAGGCCCTCAACAATGCTCGTGTAGTGCGCTTCTTTGTTGCAGCGAACTGAAGACAACTTGACAGTTCTGACACAGTGGCCAAATATGGGATGTTGGCAGATATTGACCAGCGTCTGGAAGCTGTGCTGAGTGAAGAGCACGGTGACTTGCTCGAAGTGTCTACCGAGTGCTCGAGTTGCCGCGTCATGAACGCCGTGGGACTTGCATGTGAGTCGAAGAGAGATCAGATCGTCCGTGTCGAGGTTCGGTTGTTGGCAAACTTGTGAGATAAGCTCCTTGGGGAGTGACGAGAAGGTCAGTGGACGAGCCATGGTTGTTTGATGAGCAAAGTAGACCGCGATCTGTGGATTGATGATGAGGAATGAAGGTCGGGAAGAGGAAGCAGTTGATGTAGACAGAACTAGTAGTCGCGGCGCTTAGTATGTCAGAAGAGATGTGCGAGACAAGTCGTACTTCTCAAAAGAGAGGAGACTTCACTGGAAGGTCTCAAGAGTGCAGAAAGCCGAGGCCGAGATAGGGGATTGAGTTCCTTGAAGTGACTCCCGATGATGATCACCGAGACTGGAGCATGATCCCAGGGACACTCAACTACATTCTCACCTACCTTGTCCGGCTCTCCTCCGATGATGGCATACAGAGACATCCAAGCCATGGACATCATGCTGCTTTGCCAACATATGACAATGCTTAAGATGAGGGAGGTCGCGAATTCATGAACTGATTCAACAAGTCTATCCAACCTCTCCGTAGTCGCTTTGCTGGCTGAAGAGAGGAAGAAGTCAACGATGCCGGATGTTGTTGCGACAGGCGCCAAGCCTCGGGTGGTGGAGCCCCACGCTGCCCCTCCTTTCCACCTTCCTGTTCCTGAGCATCTTTCTTTAGGCTAAAAGGCACTTTCCCATCACAAGGCACATGCCATGGCAGCGTCCAAGAGTTTCAGAGCCGCTCACCAGACACAGCCTGTACATGCCGAGCAGGCAGGCAGGCTAAACACCTTGTGGACTGCTCTTCATCCTCGTCGCCTTATAAACACTCCTGCCGATCCACATGTAGGTAACCAAGCACTTCTACCCTGTTTCCACTCTCTAGCACACCTCCATCATGTCAGACAAGGAGCCCCTCATAACTCACCTCTACACCGCCGACCCCTCGGCCCACGCCTTCAACGGCAAAATCTACATCTACCCATCCCACGACCGCGAGACGGATATCCAAGACAACGACAATGGCGACCAGTACGACATGAACGACTACCACGTCTTTTCGCTCGACTCGCTCACCGGACCCGTCACAGACCACGGTGTAGTTCTCAAGCAGGAAGATGTACCATGGGTGTCCAAGCAGCTCTGGGCTCCCGACGCCGCTACCAAGGACGGCAAATACTACCTCTACTTCCCTGCTCGCGACAAGGAGGGTATTTTCCGTTGTGGTGTTGCCGTATCGGATAAGCCTGAGGGCCCTTTCAAGCCGCAAGAGAATTACATCAAGGGCAGCTACAGCATCGATCCTGCCTGCTTCGTCGACACCGACGGCTCAGCCTATCTCTACTTCGGCGGCCTGTGGGGCGGCCAACTGCAATGCTGGCAGAAAGACGGCCACTTCGACTCTGCCTGGAGCGGCCCACAAGAACTCACCGGTAAAGGCGTCGCAGCACAAGGCCCCCGTGTCGCCAAAATGACCAACGACATGCTCGAATTCGCAGAAACACCCCGCGAAGCCCTAATCGTCGACGAAGCCGGCAAACCCATCCAAGCCGACGACCACCAGAGACGCTTCTTTGAGGCGGCATGGATGCACAAGTACCAAGACAAATACTACTTTTCGTACTCGACTGGCGATTCTCATCTTTTGGCTTATGCTGTTGGAGATAGTCCATATGGTCCTTTTACCCAGCGCGGCACTATTTTGGAACCCGTGGTTGGCTGGACTACTCATCACTCTATTGTTGAGTTTGAGGGTAGATGGTACCTCTTCTATCATGATTCGTCGCTGTCTGGCGGCAAGAACCACTTGCGTTGCGTCAAGGCGAGAGAAATCTTCTATGACGAAAAGGGCGATATCCACATCTAGACGCGCACACATGTAACTTTTGATGATACCACTGTTGTTTTTCTGCTCAATTCAAAATGATCACACTTCTTCTGCTGCGCAGATTAACCTTTGACTCTCAATATCCTCCGCCTCCGTAAATCTATGGATCTGGTTGCAGCAATATACTAACCAATACATAGCGTTGTCAGGCACGAGTGGCCGCTAGTCTTTGGCCATTATAGTATTTGCATATTGTCTTTTTGGGTTGGGACAAGAAGACTTGGTAACGAAAAGGAGGGTAATATGAAACCAGTCTAGCTGCGTGTGTAAAAGCTCACCACATCTCGATCAAAGATCTCAAGCCCCCTCTCACAACCAAAACCCAAATACAAGCAAATATATTTTCATCATCGCGAATCAGTCATGATACTCCTCGTCCTCGCGCGCTCGGAAGCATCCAAATGCCACTCCAACCCAGCTTCCCTCTGCTGCTCTACACTCTGCGCAGCAACCTCTTCCCACTCATCCTCCTCCATATTCAAGATCAACGTCATGTCCGTGCAACGCTGGAACGCGTCTCTGAGTGAATACTTGCCGCCTTTGACCGCCGCATTCACAATCCCCGAAATGTCGCGTTCGAGCTTTGCAGCACCGCGTTCGTTGACACGGCCGTAGTATGACCAAATGCGTTTTTCGAGTGCGCGCGCTAGGTAGGCGATGGTGCTTGTGATTAGCGCGTCGTATGTTCGATCGGTGAGGATGCGTTTGATGGGGCGTGTGAATTGCATCCAGCCGCGCTCGAAGCGTTGGGCGACTGCTGCATCAGAGTCGCCGGTTTCTGCGGCGGCATCGTCGTCGTTGAGCAGATATTCGACGTCGCGGAAGGTTTCGACAAAGACGGGACGTAGGCGTGGTCGCATGACTTGTTTGAGCAGCACTTCGACGGCTTCTGCGATGAGATCGGCGGTTTTGGATTCGAAAGTGCTGAGAATGTTGCCCAGTGCAGTCTCTACGAAAACAGCATCGTGAGCGAATGGAAAGAGGTCTGGAATGGCGGCACGTTGTTGGCTGGGGTTGCTGGGGTCGACCTTGCCGAGATTGGTGTTTACGATACGGCGAAGGTAGTCGGTGGAGATGTCCAAGTTGTTGATGAGTACCAAGAAAGAGATGATGACACTTTCTGGCGGTAAGGCTCCTTGAATGGCGGCTTTGGGATAGCTCTCATCACGCATCTTGCGCTGGATCATGCCGAAGAAGTCACCTGTCAGCACGCGACTGACTGAAGGCATGACGCCGGCGACGACGGCTCTTTGCGATGTAGCTAGCGTGCGCTGCAGTACTTGGTTGACAATATACATGACGTCGTCGACTGCAGAGGTGATGAAGGGAGGGTTGGAGCCCAAAGGCTTGTTCGGATTGAGTGTCAGGTCAAAAGGCGACTCGTCCATCTGGAAGGCCTTCTCGACGGAGCGGCGGAAGAAGAATGTGGTCATGGTGTTGAAAGGCTCAATCAGTGCATCAGCAATCTTCTTGTGCAGCCTACTGTTGGCAAGGAGATCTGGCATGGCTATGTGTTCCTCGATGCCAGGCNNTACGAGAGAATTAGTAGTCTACCTTGACGATTCTGACAGATCAAGACTCACGTGAACTTTTGTAGCGACGAAACGGGTATACAGAGCCCAGCGGCTCAACATCATGGCGGTCTCACTGAGCAGGGCATCGACTTCCTTCATGTTGACGCCCTCATCCTCACTAGCACGACTCGAGGCTGGCGATTGTGATCGCTGGGCATTCGACTTTTGACTTGGGAGGAAACTCTGGACAAGAAAAGAGAAAGCATATGATTTGACGTCCTTGATCTTTCTTGCGAGGCTGCGCTCATCAGCCCAGGCATCAAGTACGATGCCACCTTGAGTATCTGCTTCTGCTTGCAAACGCTCAATGACTTTGGCCATGGAACCTTGACCGTAGTGTCTCTCGACAAGAGGCTCATGGCCATCAACGATCAAAGCAATCTGCTCAAACAGTTTGGTCAAGGCGCTCGCGTAGAAGAGAGCATTCTCACGCTGGTTCGTAGCGCTCAGATTGTTCCTTGCTCTTTGAGCTACGCCGGTACAGACGTAGCGACCATATGCATCCAAGCCCTGGTCTGATTTGCCAATCAGGGGGAACAACTTGAAGAAGCGAGTGACCCTCTGACCATCTCCGTCGGTCGCAGCGCGGTCGAACTCGCGCAGGAACAGGCCACACAGACTCTCCGAGGCTTCGGTAAGCGTTACTCGCGGTGCATCGGGGACTTCGGCGGTGGGAACGATTTCTTGGGCAAAAGCACCGTCAATGACGTGGTCGGGGATTTGAGAAGCGCGGTGGAGGTATGAGGCAGCCGTCTCCCAGTCTTGGGCAGCACCCATGGAGCCATTGACACCCAAGACGCAGGCTTTGAGCTCGGCGACCTGGTCGACAACATTCAAGGTGGACTTTACGGCAGCTTGTTCTCGGTCGAGTTGGTTGACGGCACCGGAAATGCGGGCGGCTGTCGAGGCGGCCGAAGAGAGTATGCCATTGCTGATGGAGCGCGTCTGGATGACTTGAGAGCCTAGATGAGCTCGTGCGAGATCGAGCTTGGTCAATTGGCGCGAGAGGTCGCGTTGCGATGCGAGCAGCGCATCCAGACGGGCAGTCACGGTGGCTTCCTGCTGGCCCAACTCTGCCAACGTGGCTCGAATCTCGGCCACTGAAGACGCCTTGTAGATGTCTCCAGTATCGGGCATACTAGTCGCCAACATGTTCGTATCCAGTCAAGGAAGGAACAAGAATGGCGAGAAGGTGCGTGTGTTTCGAAAGTCGACAGTCCAGACAGAAGCCAAACACGCCCAAACATCCGACATCCGACGCTCAAACTCCCCACATCTCTGTCCACCAAGCCCGACCGCTTCTCTCCTGACTACATTTCCATACCATATCACTTCGCCTCCATCATCTCCGTGTATATCATGTCTGACCACTCACCTTGTAATCGACGAAATCTCGGTGCGGTTCAAGTTGGCCAAGCGCTCCGAGACGAGTCGCGACGACGAGACTCCACCTGGACCGCTGCCAAAAAAAGAAGTCGTGTTTCACACTTTGGACTTTCTTGAAGCACTTGATCCTTCCTTGGAAAGCTTGTTCTGCCTTTCTCAAAATGCTCTGCGACCATTGTCGTCATCTTGCCACGCTTGTCTTCTGTTGATCAACTCGCTATGCGATCTGCCTGCGACTCTTGCCCCTTTCTCAAGGCTGTGGAAGTCAACCAGGCAATCTCACATCCAACAGTGAGAGGCCATTCTCAAGTCACGTCAAGGCTTCATCTTGAAACCCTTCCGCCCACTCAACCATCCCAGACCCTCATCCGCACGTCTTCATTCCTTTTCACTCACTCCACAGTTTCAGGCGAGTAAGTCTTCTCGTGTTTGCCAGTTCCCTAAAGGGCCACCTCTTACTCAAAGGATGCTGCCGAGCCGTGTGAAGTGCTGACCACGAACCATGAGCTCGGACGGCACATCATACAAACTCCATCATGCCCCCTGCTCGTATGCTGGGCATGCCCGTCTGTCGTGACAGATCTGTATCGGTTGTGTCTCCATGTCTATAATTGTAAGCGGCTCAAGTTTCATTCTTCTCTACAAGATCAATCCTCCTTCGTTGCTTGTCCTTCTCTCAGTCCAACATTCCTTTCGTTCTTGCGGTCTGTGACTGCTGTTTTTCGATCCCAGCATTTCTTTTCTTGCATCAATACTTGCCACGATGGTGTCCTGGGGCCGTCTGATTCTTCACGCATTTTCCTTTTCTCCTCTCAACAATGATCTCGCCGCAATCTACCAGCCCGACAAGGCGAAGTTTGCTGTTCCTGCTCTGCAACCACCAAAGAATATCCTAGGCGGCATGAACGGTGGTGCCTTCCACGGTCCAGCCTTCATATCTAATGGAATGCAAACGCTGCAAAACGCTTTGGCTGGGAATCAACAAGATGGCGACTCACCTCTCGGAACGATCGATGCGCCAACGTTACCTCCCTTCCTTGCTGGTGGTGGCACGCCTCTTCCCAATGGCTTTCCCTGGGGTCAGTCAACAGCCAACAACACCAATTATTACACAACTACACCCAACACTGGTGTCACTCGATACTACGACTTTGAGATATCCGCTGGACGGATTGCACCTGACGGTGTCTTCAAGGATGGTATCCTCGTCAATGGACAGTTCCCTGGTCCCACCATAGAAGCAAACTGGGTAATTCACCCCCAAATCACACGATTCGACGATATCTAACAGATTCAGGGTGACATGATCTCGATCACTGTCAAGAATTCTCTGGACGAGGGAACTGCAATGCATTGGCATGGTGAGAATACGCCGGTACACATAGAAGAGTGTCTACTAACAATATGCANNGGACTGCTCCAGAAAGCAACGCCATGGTATGATGGAGTGCCAACTATCATGCAATGCCCCATAGCTCCTGGCAAATCCTTCACATATACCTTTCAGGCTGATCTATACGGAACCAGCTGGTACCACAGCCACTACAGTACGTCTAATTCGGTGGCTCTCCACCATCTGTGTGCTGACTCCAATTCTAGGTNNGCACAGTATGCAGGTGGCGCAGCTGGTGCCATGATCATTTATGGTCCCAAAAACGTAGACTATGATATCGACCTCGGACCAGTAATATTGAGCGACTGGTATCATGAAGATTATTACACCCTCGTCGAGCAGACAATGTCAAAAGCGGGTGCCAACACTCCTCAGCCCGCTTCGAACAACAACTTGATCAACGGCAAGATGAATTTCCCGTGCCACAAGGACGTCAACTGCACCGCCAATGCTGGCATTTCCAAGTTCTCCTTCACCTCTGGCAAGAAGCACAGATTGCGGTTGATCAACATGAGCGCCGAAGCCATGCAAAAGTTCTCGATTGATGACCACAAGATGACTGTCATCGCAAATGACTTTGTGCCTGTTGAGCCTTACGAGGTTGCTGTGGTCACTCTTGCTGTTGGTGAGTTTAGAATGGGGACTCTTTCTATATTACGACTGACAAAGTACCAGNGCCAACGTACCGACATTATTGTCGAAGCGGATGGCTCACCTACCGACAGCGCCTGGATGCGCTCCAACATCCAGTACTGCTCCTTGACCGATGGTACCGTCAACGAAGCTGTCGCCGCAATTTACTACGAAAACGCAGACAATACCACAATTCCTAAGACCAAGTCCTCAGTCACCACAACCCAACTTTCTTACTGCAACAACGACGATATTTCCGTCACCAAGCCGTTTCTGCCCATCACCCCCGACCCGAACCCATCCACCACTGAAGACCTGGTTATCGAGTATCGCACCAACGAAACCGACTTTAACCTCTGGTTCGTCAACAACATTAGTTTCAGAGGCGATTACAACAATCCCGTGCTGCTGGAAGCCAAACTCGGCAACCTCGATTTTCCCGAAGAGGCACATGTAATGAACTTTGGCTCCAACAAGACCGTGCGGCTTGTAGTATACAACTACTTTGCCTTTGGAGGCCATCCCATGCACATGCATGGCCACAACATGCAAGTCTTTCTTCCTCCCTTCACACCTTACACCTCACTGACATCACTGCAGGNNTACGTCCTCGCCGAAGGCTTTGGCGAATGGGACAACCGCGTCACCAACCCCACCAACCCCCAACGCCGCGACACCATCTGGGTCCAAGCCGCAAAAGACAAAGACACACCCGCCTACATAGTCCTCCAGATCGATCAAGACAATCCCGGCGTGTGGCCTTTTCATTGCCATATCGCTTGGCATGTGTCTGCGGGTTTGTACGTGAGTATCTTGGAAAGGCCAGAGGATATCAGGACATCGATGCAGATTCCGGGGGTTATGGCGCAGAGTTGTAGGGACTGGAGTCAGTGGACTGGAGGGGTGGTTGTGGATCAGATCGATAGTGGGTTGTGAGGAGTGGTTTTATGTGTGTTTAGGCTTCTTCTTTTCGGACGATTGGTTTCTCATACATGATTGCTTGTCAAAGAAAGAAAAAAAGGGAAAAGGAAAAGGGAAAGAAGCAGAAGGGGAAAGATCAAGGTGGTATCCATGCTGCAACTACTTCTTTGTCCATCTTTGTACCCTTCAGGTTATATTTCTGTGGCCTTCAGGCTGTGGGAGACAAGTTCTCCATCCTTGAGGTATTGTTTGCATGTACACAAATGATACAATACAGAAAAGAACACAGAATGGTAAACGTGGAAAAGACTATTGCATGTTGACCTGATATGGACACAGTAAGCAGTAAAAGCAAGTAGCAAACATCCATGAGTAGTCAAAGAAATTGTTGCATATACTACTTCCATGGCAAGAGGGCAGACAAAAGGGAGTATGAGGTAGTGGCACAAAAAGCGTTGCTAGAGTTTGGTTTGTCTACGTGTGTTGAGAAAGGAAAAAGGAGAGAGGAGAAAGAAGGTGGTAATATTAGTGACTACTGACATGTACAAAATTCAGAAGAAACTGTGTTGACCAGATTGTTGTTGGTTATTTCAGACCTTGGACTCTTGTTTGTTTCTCCAGCAAAAGTGTCAAAAAGTTATATCAGCGATGGAAGCTCAAGAAGATCTGTGGGAGGTTCAGCTTTCTGGCATGAAACAGGCATGACAGGTAATGGGCAAAGAACGGTCGGCACTCTTGCAGCAGCCAAGTACGGAACAGAGAAACACGATTAGTATATACTATCAAAAACATTCGTAGGACTTTTCAAGACTTTTTTTTTCGCTTCTAGGTTTGGCCCATTTCTTTTTCGGAAGATCTATGTATTTTTGTATCTTTTTTCTTCTTTTGCTTGTTCTCTTTGCCTCTGTGGCTCCAGCCTTTCTACAATAGATCAAAGAGGACAGACCACAGCGCGATAAAAGGGGGCACAAATATTTCTCAGAAGTTCATCATACCTTTTCCCTTCTTTTTTCCCTTCGACTTCGTGGGTTCCCTAGCTAGCAAGTCCATCATCATCATCATATCTGCACTGTACACTTTTATATTGCCCTTCTCCTCTTTCCCTATTCCCCCCTTTTTTTTCTGCATTTCTTTGCCACTTGCCTTTTTCTTTTCAAACTTGCCTTTTTTTCTCCTCCTCCTCCTCCTCCTCCTCCTCCTCATCAAAAGAAGAAAAAGAAGAAGAAGCTGGAGAAGAAAGAGCTCAGCAATAAATACCCACATGCAACAGCGAGAAGAAGAACAAAAGAAAAGAGTCATAGCACTGTAAGATAAACCTCGAACTGATATCGCGTGGTGGCCACGAGGAACATGTCTCAAAGAGACCAAAAAAAAAAAAAAAAGACCCGTAACTTTACCAACCTCCTAGCCAACGAATATACCATCGCCAGACACCAGAAGCGCGAACAGTAAGACGAAGGAAGAAAGATTCTATGGAAAAAAACTTTCTGTACTGGCATTTGGGGTGATCTGGATATAATAAACAAGCAGTGGGTTGGAGGATTTGTGATGGAGGAGAGGCTGGGAGAGAGAGACATTATCAATAATCAACAAGCAACTGGCAATTTACACGCCCATCTTCTCAGCCGTAGCCATAAGACTGCCAATAAAAGTAACGATGAGTCTGCTGCGTACAGCACAAATGTCCTCGGGCACAAGCCAAATGGTCGCACCCATCTTTCTGGCAATGGAAATGGCAAGTTTGGCATTGGCATATGCTTCGTCATCGTTGCGGCCAGAGGCAACCATGTCATAATCCACATAGCTGCTCTTCATTCCGTTCAGGACGTCTAGCAGGAAAATGCCATTGCCGAGAGTGCTGTCCTTGAAGCTGCGGATGGCCGAAGACTTGCCGCCCTTCTTGGACATGCCGTTGGCCCAGCTGACCATGTCGGCATCGGTGATTTCGCGCTTGCCCATGCGCTTAGCAAGGTCGCCGAGAGTGTTGACAATGTCCTTGCGCATGAGTTGCCAGACCAGACCGAGGGTAAGAGTGCGTTGGCCGTCGGTGATATCTGCACCTTGAACACCGACAAGCGAGAAACGGTTCTGCTTGCCAATCTCGATGGCGTAGTTTGTGTTTTCGACGGCCTTGAAGCGCATGAGCTCGTTGCCGTTGGCGGGACGCTTGTTGCAGTGACGCCATTGCACCGAGCCAGGAATGACCTTATCATAGGCTTGAAGGAGGACTGTGCCGTCGCGGAGATCGTCAAAGAGAGAGACAACGGTAGGTTGGACGTCCAGACTGTTGAGCCAAAGGGTAAAGACACGGGCCTCACGCTCACCCTCGGCATCAAAGTCCTCAATATCGGCCTTCTCTTCCTCGGTGATGGGCTCAAGACCAGGGTGGGTGTTGAACAAGTTTGCAACAAAGGCAAGATTGAGCTTGGGGTTACCGGCGACCAGCGACTTGGGGGTCAGGAACTTGCGGCAGTCGAGCTTGTCGGCGTTGTCGAGGACTTGTTCTGCGCGTTGCATGAGGTCGCTGGTCTGGAGTGGGGAGCGAGAGCAGATTTCGGGCTTGAGTTGGTTGAGCAGGACAGTGTAGTTTTCGCCATCCTTGACGTCGCTCGAGAAGTTGGACACGCTGTGTGTTGTTAGCCGGGTACTCTTTGAGTATAAGTACTGCACTCACGTTCTGTGCCACTTGGCATTCTTCAGGTGGTAGTTGAACCAGCGCAACAGGATCTGCTCCGCGGGCAGGCGCAAGAACTGCTCCAGAGTCTCGTCGTCTTCCAACAGTCTGTACAGCTCGGGGTGGAGTCTGATGTCGATCTTGCCGAGCAGACCTCTGCGGATAATCTGCCAGATCAGACCAAGAATCAAGTGCTCCTTGACCTCGATGATGTCGCCAGAGCCAATGTTGACGACCGAACAACCGATACCCTTTGCCGACTCAATGACGATGTTGTTGTTCTCGGTCATGTGGAAAGCGTTGAGCGTCTTGATCTTCTTGCCAGGTCTGTTCAGCACACGCTCGTCGATTGTGTCGGGCACACTGTCGTTGATGAGCTTGGCCAGCACCAGGCCGTCCTTGCACTCGTCGAACATCTCAAAGGTATCGGTGGGGAAGGGCAGCTTGTTGCCAATGTCGGCGTCACCGGCAAGGACGGCATTGATGTGACGGGTGAACTCCTCGCGCTCGTCTTCGTTGATGGTGTGTTGCGAACTAGACGTGGCGCCTCCGACGTGGATACGACCGCCTCCAGTGCTTGCGCCGCCACCGATGCTGTTCTTGGAGGCGTGGCCGGGCGAGGCCTGCTGGCCTTGTAGTTGGGCGTTGCTGAGGCCGCGCGAACGAGCGGGCCCGGTGGCCATGCTCTTCTGAGCCTGCGACGGTGTGCGGAGCTTCGAGATCAANCTGCGCGCGTGTCAGTCGGGTCCTGAGCGAGGCCGGCGGTCGGAGTGATATACATCAACATAGTCGTCCAACTCGACTCGTCGCGAGCTGTCCAGCTCAACCTCCTTGAGAGCCTGTCGCACGACATCGTAGGGTTGGCGCTCCGAGTTCTGAGTGGCCTTGATGACGGTGGCTTCGTCTATGTAGCCCTTGTCGTCGACATCCATGTTCTGGAAGGCATTGGAGAGCTGGAAGATCTCATTCTGATCGAATTGAGGGTATTTCCTGTAGACAGTCAGCTTCTATCCATTGACAAAGCGTGTTCAGAGCGATACCTTTGCAGCTTGATGACATTCATGATCGCGGTGGTGGGGTGAAGGAGGAGCTGCTGGGCGACGCGGTAGAGGGCGGGCGGAGATTGCTTTTAGTAATTATGCGACGCGGAATCCGGATGCCTGATGTTCCATCATCAGTTTCAACGTTGCCTCTACGACGTATTCACGTATCAGCGTCTTACTCAGCCTCAATCAATGCTATTGTGACTTGTGAACGAAACCCACAGGCAGAAGGATACAAAGACACGCGGTGCGTGACGTCGACGCTAGAAGAGCATCCTCTCATTCGTTCCCTCGGTCAGAGATGCACCGCCACCATGAATGCCCAAAGCCACCAAAACTCAATTCTATCGCAAGTTGAAAATGTTTCTTCTTGTGCTCTATAGACGTGAATACCTAATTCCGACACTAGATCAAGAGGTAGAAGCTCGTGAGCACACTCGGTCCTACAAACAGCCCAATCCAAAACACCACGTTGCCTAGCAGGTTTCGGCCCTTGAGCAGCTTGGTTCGGCTGAGCATCACCAGAGGCATCTGCAGCAGTTGCATCGTAAACAGGTACCCGCGCACCTTCTTGAACAGACATGCCATGACCAGCTCGTGCACCAGTGCCGACAACAGAAAAGTCACAAACGTCGCCGTTCCTTTGCTCAGATGGAAGGCCGAGATGGACGAGTGGTAGACGTGTCGAAGCAAGAAGTTGTGCACTGGTCTGTTCCAGTCTCTTGCGTACTGATCCCAGGACACACTGTTCCACCAGTCGCCGTAGAAGCCACGGTCGGCAAAGCATGTGAGCTCGGCCAGCACGTTGAGTACGCATTCNCTGTGTTGCTGTCAGTCGCTTGCTTCATGTAATCAAAGTTGCTCGTCACGACTTACCCAAATAACATACCACGACAAGAGCTGCTCCAACAAGAGTGGGAACAGCATGTCGCTCACAATCCATGGCATCTGCTTTGCTCGCTCTTCCAAAGACATTCCTGCATCCTTCATCCGAACCGTCTCGGCAACTGGAGGGTAGATGTATGCTTGAGAGATGACCTGCATCACACACATGGTTCCAAACGTGGCCATCGACTTTTCCAGTACGTACCACCAGTTGATACGCTCCTGCCGAGGATACTCGAGCTCGTACACCAACGTAGGCAAAATGGTCCAGTCTGCAAAGTTGCCAAGCGTCAAGTTGTTGGGATATGCCTTCTCGTCAGACTGCGCCTTGCCCTTGAGCTCTTTATCCAGAGCCGCAATCTCCCCCTCGATGATGCGTTGAAATGCTTGCATCTGACGTAGAGTGAGAGGCT